ACCCTGGAGTCAGGCTGCTGCCTGGCTTTGAATCCCAGCTCCATTGCTTATAAATTGGATGAGCTTACACTCTACTCAGTTTTTCCCTTCTATAAAATGGAATAATATTTCTTAAAAGCTGTAGTGAAGATTTAAATCCATGTAAAACATTAACTGGCCTGCAGTGTGCATCTAATAAATGTTAACTGTTACTGTGGTGCTGGTTGAGGTTATAACTCGCTCTGTTGCATGGTGTCCCTGCTGCCACAGGGCTGGGCTGGGTTGGCGGGATGAGTCAGGGCAGCAAGCGTGGTTCTGGGATCTGCATCCCCTTCCCACACTGGCCGTGTGGAAGCCAGCCCAGCAGGATGAGGACCCTTCCTGCCTCACCACAGCAAGCCACTCTGCTCAGGCTCTCAGGTTGGGAGGGCGAGGGGAGTATCTCAGTTTCCTTTGTTTTTGTTCAGGTCTCTGCTCTCCTGGAAAGAACACCTGGGAGTAGAACTGGAGACCTACTTCCGGTCCTGAGGCTCTTCCTGGCTCCATATATGTGGCCTTGGGCAAGTCACTCCTCCTCTCGGGGCTTCCGTTTTATACCTGCGAACTTAGCTACCTCCTGGTCCTGGAGAGGCCTCCCAGCCCTGACTCTTGCGATCCTGTGATGTTACAGGAAGGCTGCCCCCGCTGCCACCCTTCCCCGCACCTCTGGCCGCTGTGGCGCCCCACCCCCCAGCTAGAGTGAGGGGGCGAGTTGCCAAGGTCGCCATGGGGACTAATCTCCAAGAAGGTCAGTGAGGCTCTGGTTCTCCCAGGGCGGATCGGGATTAGCACCTGGGTACGACCCCTCCTCCCCAAGGCCCTTCTGCTCTCACACGGACCCCGGGGGCCTCCACGCCCACAAGTTCCAAGGCTGGGCCAGTATCAGTGGGTGGGTAGTGCGGGCAAGGCAACTGCTACAGCTGTCTGCCCAAGCTGAGGCCCAGAGAGAAAGGGGAACAGGTGGGGTCAGATCCATGCCACTGGCTGCTCAGGGTCCAGCCACAGCCTTTGGGGGAAGGGGAGCAAGGCTCTTTGGACCTTTAATGGGCAACTCGAGTCTTCTAAGATAGGGGTATCAGCTACCTCCAGCCCTGGCTGTCCCATTGCAGTCCACATAGAAGCCCCCTCTTTCTCCTCTGTGGGGGTAATTTCCCCATCCCAGTGTGGGGTGAGAGGGAGGCTGTTTTCATATAGGCCCCCTTCCTCCACATACACCGTGCCTTCCACCTCAGGTTATCCTGACATCTGACCCTACGTCTTCAAATCCCTCTGGCTTTCATAAGTGCGCATCTCTCATTACCTCCCATTGCCTGTGTGTGTGTCTGTCCCTGTCTCTGCTCTCCAGCCTCTCTCCGGACGTCTCTGCCCAGTCTCTAGCTCACTTTCACTGTCTGGGAAGTGGAGGAGGGTCTGCAGCTTCTTCTAGCCCTAAAATCTCACCTGTAGTTCTCATATCCTCTGGGCTACACTCTCCGCCCCGTCCTTCTGTCTGTCTGCTTGTGCTCTCCGCCCTCATGCTCATCCTTTTCCCTCTCCATTTCCCCTCAAGGGTTCCCAGTCCCACACAACCCTCACTCCAACTGCTCAGTCCCTTTTTCTGCTTCTTCCACTACCTGTCCCCTCCCCCGCCCAGGGTGCTGACAGGGATGACAGGAAGCAGGCTCTGGCTTCAAGCAGGAAGGGGGAGGAGGGACAGGGCGCCTCGAACACCAGCTGCTGAGCACCCCCCTCCCCAAGCCCAGCACCTGCAGGCCTGCCTGGCGCCTGGAGATTCTGCCTGGCCAGGCAGGGGAGGAGGGACCTGCATGGGAGTCTGGATCCCTGGCCCTGGCCAGGAAATGCGGGTCTGGGGGATGGGAGTTTTTGGTCTGGGGAAATCAGGCCCTTGTGGGGAGAGGCAGTGGCTCTCAGTCACAAGGGCAAAGCCCAGCCTACTAGTGGCATCATTCTTCTCAACCCCTCACCAGCAAGACTGCTGTGTGTGTGTAGGGGGTGGTCATTCCAGGGGGAGATCTCTTTGTTGTATGGCCCTGAGATGTGAAATCCCAGCCAGAGAGAGGCTTTAGCTCCCCACCTCCTTGACTGAGAGTGGGGAAAGGTAGCCCTCGAAAACATAGAGAAGGTGGGCCAGTGCCAGGCTAAGGCCATCACACGGAAATCATTCAGGGCCAGGCAAGGAGCAGAGAGCTGGGTGCAGGACAGAAGCCTGGTCAGGGAGGCCAGGACAGGGGCTGCACCTACGCAGCCTGGGGACTCATGGATCTCCCCCACCTCCACAGGGCTGCTGCACCTAAATCCCATCTGCAGTCTGCCCGGTCGCCAGAACTGCCTGGGATCTGTCATAGCCATCTCATCCCCTCACCCCTTTCTCTGAGCCAAGGACTCAACAGATCCTGTGGGGTCTGTGGGTAGTTGTGGAAGGGGTGGTAATGGGGACGGTGTTGTTGTGGAAGGGGCAAGACAGCATCTTCAGAACCCTCCAAATTGGAGCCAGAAAGGACCAATGACTCCTGACCCTTGTTCCCTCTCCTTGGGGGCTGCCTCTGCCTAGATAAGTGGAGGTACAGTCCTTCCCCCATGATGCTTCCTCAGTCTCAGAAAAAACTCGGGACTCCTTACCTCTGTTCACTGAGCCTTCCTTCCACCATTGACCTACAATTGGCCCCTCCCCCTGGGTGTGTTCAGCATCACCATCAATTTTGGGGAGAGGGATGGGGGACACCTGGGCTCACAGGACAGAGCCTTAGCTAGGGGCTCAGGCTGATCCTAGGCCTCCTGAGGAGCAGTGGGCTCTAGCTCTCCAAGCAGCAGGTCAGGGCCTAGGGCAATCTCTGTCCCCCTCCCCCACGTCAGATCTTAGCACTTTGAGTTACTGGAAAGGGGATGGTCTGTCCCAGGTTGGGTTGTGGCTGATGATCCATAGACTCTTGCCTAAACTGAGGGCCACTTAGACACCCCCTCCCCCAAGCTGAAATAGGCCTTGGGATTATAAAGTCCGGGAAAGGTGGTGAGCTGCTGTGCCTGGGAACCCCACTGGACCCTGTGTTTGTCCTTTTCTGTCTGTCTGTCTTTGACAGGGGAAGACTGAAGGAGGCCCCAGGGAAATGGCAGGGAGTGAGCCCTCAGGATGTCAGCACCAAAGAGATCTGGAGGATGGGGCTTGGGCTCCCTAATGGTCCTAGCTGGCCCCACCCAGCTTTGCTAGAACACAAGGCTACCTCTTGTGGGCAACCAACTTCCAGTCAGGGGGCTCAAAAGCATTGCTAGGAGCCCAGAAACCAGGCTTTGGGGACTGGTAAGGCCTTCTCAGGAGGCCAGACCAAACCCCCTCCTGCTGCAGATGGCAAAGCCCAAGGAGAGGCGGGGGAAATGACTTGCCCAAGGCCACAGAAGTCGCTGGGGACAGAGCCAGACTAGAAGGTGGGTTTCCACCTCCAGAAGGGCTCCTGTTCTGGGCTAGAGCCCCCTGTGTCACCTGGTGGGGCCTGCTCGCTGCCTTTATTACCGGAATGGAGCGGGGCAGCCCAGGAGTTGCGGGCAGAACAAGGCAGGGCGGGCGGGGCCGGATGGGAGCCGGATCTCCCCGGGGAGCGGCGCACTGCCTCTCCGACCTGTGTGGCAGCGGCGGCGGCGGCGGCGGCGGCGGCAGGTGCCTGCGTGGCGGTCCGGCCAGGCCCCCGGGCGGGTGCTGAGAGGCCGCCCCTGCCTCACGCGAGCCGAACGAACAAAACGCTCAGGTCCGGTTTGTGCGAGGGGCTCGTCGCGGGGCGGGAGCGGAGGGCCCGGGGCCTGGCTGTGGCCCTTGGTGATCTCCTGGTCCTGTTCTTCCGCGAGCGCAGTGCCACACAGCGCTCCGCTAGCCGCCACCCTCACCTGTGCGCATCTGCGGCTGACACGTCGGCCACAGAAGGCGCGCACCTGGTCCGCCCCTCCCCTCCTGGCCGCCCTCCACCCACCGGGTCCTTCTTGGCTGGGTCCTCAGCCCACGTCCCGGAGCTTGTGCGAGAACCTGGGCTCTGAGCACTCTTATACGGCCTGTTCAGTCCCCGCCCCTAGACACGCGCGCGCGCGCACACACACACACACGCACACACACACATACAGACACTCACACCTGTCCGCGCGCCCGTTTGCTCAGGGCAAATATTGACTCAGAGGAGGCGGAGCGCTCCCACCCTCCCATCACCCTTCCCCCAGGCTCTGGGGCCGGAGCTCTTCGCAAGCCCTGGCGGCGGGGGTGGAGGGGGCTGTCGGGGACCTGGACGCCTCTGGAACAACACCAGATGTCACTTTTCCACCCACCTGCCTTGGGGGGTGGGGGGAGGTGCGGAGGAGCAGAGAACCGAGGCTGCAGGGCCGAGGCTGGGGGAGAGGGGAGGAGCTGGAGGTGGGTATCCTAGGGACGGCGGGACAGTCCCTGGTCTGGGCATTCAGATTCACGATGGAAGTAGCTGAGTAAGGTATGTGGCCCGCTGTTTAGGGGCGACCTCCACCCACATGTCAGCGTCTAGTTCTTGGTCCTCGGCGATGTGCCTCGGTTTCAATATTCCTTCCCTCCCAAACTCTTCGCAGAGTCCTGGCAGATGCTGAGAAAAGGCTGGTGGTGGAGGGGCCGAGCCTCAGAGCAGGCGCGGCGCAGGAAAGGGAGGGGTGGCCACTTCGCCCCGCGGCCACCTGCTGCACTGACCGGGCCTGGCGCTCAGTTCTTGTCCACCAGGCTATGCTGGGTAAAAGGCCAGTTGGGCCCCTCCCGGAGCGCCCTCGGCAGGCCAGACCAGGCCCACCGCCAGACAGCGAGCAGCGACAACCCTCGCCCAGCCGCCGCTGGAGTGGAGAGGCGCAAGCTCCTATCGCCTAAGTCTCCAACGAGTCTCTGTGGTTCATCTCGGCCGCTCCCACCATCTGTCCCTCTCAGAGCGCGCTTGCGATTTCCTCCCGCATTGGGGAAATAAAGTCAGGGCAGATATCGAAGAAAGGCTAGCTGCTTTACTGGGAGGCGTCTGGGCGGAACCTAAGGAAGCAAGTGGGAGGGGCTGGGCGCTGGCCTCCGCAAAGAATTGGTAGGGGGCGGCGCCACCGGGAGGCGCACCTCCGCTTGCTGCGTCCCTAAGGGCGCCCCCTGCAGCGGGTCGGGAGTCAGAATCCTGCAAGACAGAAAGCCCCAGGAGGGAGGATCGCGGAGAGGTTTCGGGCCTAGACAGCCAGCCGCTTCCACCCCGCGTTCCCCTCCGGCCCACACCTGGGAACGCTGAGCGGCGGCAGGGCGATGACGCGCGGCCGCGAGGTGAGCACCACCTCCCCGCGGCTCGCCTCCACGAGGATATTCTGGATCATGTTCTCCAGCAGCTCCTCCTGCAGGTTGGCAAAAGCTGGGAGCCTGCGGGGCGGGGGAGTGCAGGTGTCAGCGCCACCGCCGACCGGGCTCCCGGGCTCCGCTGGCCTCCTCTGTGCTGTACCTGGTGCCGCGTGTACATGGATTCTCATTTAACCCTCCGCCCTCCCAACACTGTGAGGCATCCTTGTTCCAATTTCAGAGATGCTCAGATTGTTATTTAAAGAGACCAGGTTGTCAAACGCCATGCTGCTGATACAAGTGGTGGGATTCAAACCCAGGAAGTTGTAGTCCTCACTCCAGGGCCAGATTTGGGGAAAGGCATCAAAGCATGCGAGGGTGCAGAAGGGCCTGAAGAATCCCAACAACTACAGAAAGTGGCCACAGAGCCACCCCAGGGGAAGGTGGGCAAGAAGAGGTGGTACTTCTCTCCTGGCTCTAGAAACTCATTTATTTAAGAGACTTTGAAGACTATAGCCACCCTCCCGGGAGTGGTGTGCTAGTAAATGTTAGCAGCCAGTCTTGGAGAAAAACTTCAAGCTCAGATAGCCATTCTGTAAATACTCCCACTGATGCCGTAAGCTCCCAAGGTGTTGACAGTGAATGCTAAGCTGGGAGGCTTGCACCCCAGGAGAGGCTGGCCCCAGCATACCCCTGCCTCCTGGGATCCTTTTGTACGCAGCCCCATCTGGGTCTGCTGCTCACCGGCTGATGGCCTCCTTCTCGTCCTGCTCTTGCTTCTCCTTTGTCGTGACCTTCAGCTGCTGCTGCCATTGCCATTTCAGGGACTCCTGGGATGCTGCAGCCCCTGCCCAGGCCACCTTCTCTCCCTTCTCCTCCAGCTCCTCCTTGCCCGTCCCCTCTTCTTCCATCTCCTCCTCTTCCTCCTCTTCCTCCTCCAGCTCCTCCTCTTCCTCTTCACCGTTCTCCTCCTCTTCCCCTGAATCCTTCTTCCCCAGCCTCCGTTTGTCCTCCTCCTGCTCCTTGTCTTTGCTGTCCTCTGAGCTGTTGGAGGACGGAGACATGGCTGGCACTAAGTGCAGGCTGTTGTTCTGGACCATGACCTTGGCTGACTGCTCATTCCAGAACTGGCAGAAGTAAGGCATCTGCTCCACCAGGCTTTGGTCCACAGCCTCATGGAAGATCTTGTCTTCCAGCAGGCCCCTGGGAGGCAAGGAGAAGGTTCTTGCCGAGAGGCCTTGAAGCCCCCTGTGGGGCTCTGGCTTCAGGGTTCCCCAAGGGGTGGTTCTTGCCTACTGTATCCATGAACAGGCGTTAGGTGAGGTGGGGAGCCCTTGGTCAGTTGCCCCTTCCATCCCTTCCTTAGAGGAAGACATCTCTGGGCCCCATGGGTTCTTAGAAATGAACATTATGTGGTGGAGGTGGAGCCAAGAGGTCAGAGTTACATAGATGAGGGGCAGGAGCTCTGGGGACACAGACTGCCTCCAGACCTCACCTGCCAGGGAAGGGACAGGGCAGAACTTGGGATGCAGCCCTGAAGTTCCCCCCAGCCAGCTCCATTAGAGCTGCAGCACCCTGGAGGGCCTGGGGCATCAGCAGAAGTATCTTGTGAGGAAGTTGTTTTTCAGGAACGGGAGGGCTGGGACTTCAGGGTCTGTGGGTTGACCCAGAGTTGCAGAATGAGCTGGAGAGATGAGGGGGGTGATGGTCCAGGGGGTGAGCAGTCACCTGATGATGGCGGTGAGACAGTCAATCAGGAGCTGTTTCTCCTGCCTGGAGATAGGGGATTCTTCCTCAGCAGCCTCGGACTCCTCCTTGGGGTGCTTCCTCCTTGGCAGATCCCTGGGGCAGGCCAGGAGATTCTGAGTGGCCAGGCAGGCCGCTCAGGGGCTGGGGGCATGAGCAATGGTGGTCGCCATGCAGTTTTGGGGACATAGATGAGTTTGGGGCAGCCCCCTGTCTTAACCCAAATGTAATGCTACTGCATTTGGGGAGCTAGAGGTTGATTCTGAAAACCTTCAGAGTCAATGCTGGGTCAGGTCTGGGCAGCCCCTCTGGAGTGGGGGAGGGGCAGAGAGCACAAGAAGGGGACCCCTCCCTCCCTCCCCCCATGAATGTTCACCGGTGCAGGAAGTGGTGGGAAAAGTCAGAGAAGTTGGCCAGGAAGTGGTCAGTGGCATGAGCACGGGCAGTGAGGCCCAAGCAGAGCATGCCCGGTGAGGGCGGCCACGGGCATGGCCAGGATGGCTCCTCCTTCGAGATCTTAAGGTTCCAGCTGGCAGGCCGGTTGAGTGACTGCAGATTCTTGATGGGGGGCAGTGTCTTTGGGAAGGGGGAGGCATGGATGACAGGGATTTGGAGTCCATACTACCATCCCTAATAGGTCCCTAACCCCCAATGGGGCCTTTTAGGCCACAAAGGGGTATGACCCCATCCACTGGCACTTCCGACCCTCCCTTCTAGAATGCTGGACCAGAGATGGGTGGTACCTCTGGAAGCAAGCAAGGACCCTTTCAAGTTATTCCAAGGAGATGGGCTTGGGGCTTATAACCTCACCTTGTACTTCCTCATAGGTTCACAGGCTGTACAATATGCCCTTCTCTGTGGAAGCAAAAAGACCACTACTTAGGATGCAAGAGGCCTAGAGGCCCCTCTTCCTATCCTTCCTGCTGACCCACAGAGGCCCTGAAGCCAATGCCAGGATCTGCTGTCCTCTTGGTCCTGCCCAACTCTCAGCCACACCCTCTTCCAGAAACTTCCCTAGTGAAGTGTCATCTGTAGACAAGGAAACTGAAAGAAAGAGGAGTTGCCACCAAACCTGGGCAGCTGCCCCAAGCTGCTCATCCTAGTGCCCCCAGAGCTTTATGCTTGGGTGTGATAAGGAAATAGCCTCCCTTTTAAGATTAACTGCAGAAATCCCTTCTCCCACACCCCTGAAACATAATTTGAATTCCTAATTGGGCCAGAGCTTCAGGGTGGAGCAGTGCCTCCCTGGGGGTTCAGTGACACAGAGGTGACAGAGGTGTAAGAATACCAGTTCGGGAGGCTGTGAAACTGGGGAACCAAGATGGATGTTTCATTTCATGCTTATTATGGATCCCCCCACAAATACTAATAGCCCATGTTTAGTGAATGCTAACTGGGTGTCAGGCACTGTTGCAGCCACTTTACATGTATTAACTCACTTAATCCTCACAACAATGCTATGAAGCAGATAATATTTTACTTGCACTTATAAAGATTTGAAAAAATTTTTTTTCAGAGCCAATTCTTTATTACTTCAATAAATCTAAACATACAACAGCTACAGTTTTACAAGATTTGAAAAACTTTTATGTTTAAACCTAATGTGGAAATTTTTAAATGTATATAAAAGCGGAGATAATGCTACAAAGAATCTTCAATTACCCACCACCCAGCTTCAACAATTAGCAATTCATGGCTAATCTCATCTCATCTTTATCCTGCATCTGGATTATCTTGAAGCCAATCCCAGATGTCATATTGCCCCCATTTTACAGTTGAGGGAACTGAAAGGTTAAATAACTTGACAGAGATCACAGAGCTAGAAACCCTCAAAGCCAGGGCAGCTTGTTGGAGCCTCCATCTGAAACCACTACAAACACTGTTTTCCATGCACAGGTGAGCTCTGCCTTGTTTCCCCTGGGTCCCCAGGGCCCAGCACTTAGTAGGCACAGAGTAAATCCTGGCCACATGAAACAAAGATGGGCAGCCAGCCTTCTGTATGCAGGGAATCTCTTGGGGAGATGCTGTTCTTAGTCTAATGAAAGAAATCTAAACTCTTAGGGCAGGCTGTCCAATGTTGCATGTGAGACCCCCTGGGACTACCACCCATGTCCTCTCCAGTAAGGCCAATCCGAAAGATCTTTGGTATTCAAGGCTCCCTCTGCCCTCCTCACCTTCACTTTCCTATCTGTGATGGTGAACTCCACTTCCTGCCGCACCTTCTCATCCTTCCACTCCTGCAGCTCCTTTTGGTGTTGCTTTAAGAGTTCCTGCCGGTACACCTGTGACCCAGGACAAGGAGAGGGAAGACCAGGATCTGGAGGCCTGTAAATTTTCCAGGTGCTGGACCCTGCCTCTCTCTGGTCTGGGGATCTCAGGGCCCACTCCACACCCCAGGACCGGGAGATGTGCTCCATCCCAGCTTCTCTCTGGGGCTGGTCCTACCTTGCATATCAGCTCCATGCTGTAGAAGCTGGCATGCACTGAGGCCTTCAGGGTCACCACAAGTGGGATTGTCTCTTCAGGAGCCACCTTCCCTCTCATGGGATTCACAGAAACCTGTTGATTTGGGGAAGGAGTCTCTTCACAGGGCTGGGGTGAGATGGGACTAGTTGGGACATCACCGGGTGGTGGGTCTGGAGCCCTGCTTGAGGGACATGGGCCTCTCACCTCCCCAAAGTCTAGAGGTCTCTGCTGCCAGTCGAAGACAACTGTCTCATTCTTGGAGATGTTGTTGAGGAACAGCAGGCGACTGCACTTGCTCTGCACAGGAATGTTCCCCAAGGAGATATGGGACTGGGACAGGAAGACGTTCTGATAAAGACAGAACAGCAGCTTTGGGGGGTGAAGAAATAATGACCATGGCAACCATTACCAGTCACTGAGCACTTACTACAGGCCAGGTGCCAAGGGAGGCAATTCATGTGCCTTTGATCCTCACAGTGGCCCTACGAAACAGGTACCAGTATTGTCTCCAGTGTGCAGATGTGCTTCTAAGGCTTGGAGAACATAAATAATTTTTTCAAATGATAAACCCAGACAGCCTGTGATTTGGACCATTAAAATAAGCTTGGAAGGGCTGAGAAAACGAAATTCATTTAGAGAAGACAGAACGAAAGCCAACATAATTTGAGTCTTTGAAGGATGGCTATGAATTAATGGGTGATCATCTGTTGGCATCATCACTGGGCACAGAACAGGAGCTGTGCCATAATGCTGTCTGGGAAGAATGAGGCCACATGGAAGGGGCACTTTTTCTCTGTCCAGACCCTGAGTACTTCCAGGGCTGGGACTTTGCCTGGCTCTTCTTTGTGTCCCCAGCATCTCCACAGTGTTCATCCTGCAGTAAGAGTCCAAAGAGGGTAGGAGTGGGAGGCTGGACAGGCAGAAGTGTGGGTGGATAGTACCTGGCCGGGTGCATGGGAGGATGAATGGAGAAGTGGGTTGGTAGATGGATGGATGGTTGGAAGGGTGGTGGATGGATGAATGAACACATGGATGAGTAAATGGGCATGAGGGTCAGTGGGAAGATGGAAGGGTTGATACATGAATGAATGGGTCATACTTCTCAACAGTGAGAAGTATGTGAAGTAAAGATGGTATTAATGACCCTGGATATCTTTTAGGAAAATCGATCTAGGTTTAGGGGAGGGACTGTTCTGCATGAAAATAATACCTTAGAGCCCAAGAATGAGAGAGCTGCTGTTTACCCCCTTTCAATACCCCCCATCCCAGTGCCCAGAAACGGAGGGATGGAGGGCTCTGCAACAGGAGTGACTCGAGCAGGAACACCTGTGGGCACTAGGTGGCAGGGTAAGCCTCTCATGGAGCCGGTGCTGCCTCCTAATCAGGAGGGAGGCTGGTTCCAGGCTTCCCCTGGGTGTCCCTCCCTTCTCAGTACCATCTCATTCCCTTCCCAGCCTCCCCATCCCTCTGCACCAACTATCCTGGGCCCTAAGGCTCCTCCTAGGCCTCAGGCCTTCCCTCCCCGCTACCTGTCCAGGAATCATCAGCCTAGAGTGAATGGAGCTGTTGTCCCAGGTGGAGATGTTATGGAATGGGGCTGTGTCCCCCATGGCATGAGGATCATAGCCCAAGCCCTGGAAGCGGATGATGGCTGAGTTCCATCCCAGGATGTGTATGGGCACATCCACCTGGCAAGTTAAGAGGGTGGGGACAGGGACTGGTCAGAGCAAGGCCAGAGGAGGCGGCCGACTCCAACCCACCCCATGTTAGCCCAGGCTACTGCTCACTGTGTAGGTCTTGGCCTCGATCGGTGAGAAGATCCACAAGACACGAGCAGTGGTGCCTGGCTGGATCTCCCCTTGGGGGTTGAGACAGCAGAAGATGGGGTGATCAAAATTTTTTTCCTGAACCTCTGACAGGATGTTGGTCTGGACCTCATATGTCACAGGCACCGAGCCACCATTATACAGCTCATAAATCTGCAAGGGGCAGGAATAGGGAAATCTCCACACCAGCTCAGGGCTGCAGTGCAGAGAGCCCAGGATTCTATGTCCACTGTAGGAGGGCAGGTTGATCACGATGTCACCCTTATAGTCCCAGTGCTCCCCTAAATACTGCTGATTTCCTTATGGCTTGATCACCTAGGAAGTAGGTAGCCATATTTTCAACCTGTGACATTTTAGGATAATCTGTAATCCTTATTTCATTTGCTCTCAATTTACCTTGTCAAGACATTAGGGGACACTAATGCCAGTGTCCATAGTGTGGGGATTTAGGGAAATGTCCGTGCACGCACCATCCAGACCCTTCATCATTTTCTAGGCTCTCATTCTAACCATCTGTGATGTGAGGCAGCTGCTTTCCACATCTACCATGAGAGGCAATCCTGCTTAAAGGCAGGTAAGGGAGCAGAAGGAAGATAAGAGGTCCCCCAAGACTAACTTCAAGGTTTGAAATCACAGAACAGCCTGGAAGAAACCAGAGATCTGGTCCAGTTCTTCATTTCAGATATGAGAAAACAGAAGCTGGAGAGAACAGAATTCATCTGGATTTATACCCAGCCCCATCAGTCTCTCAGCCCCCACTCCTGAAAATCTGATTTTATTTCTCTAGCCTGGACCACCCTCTGAGCTCCAGACCTGGTATCCAATTTCTGCTTGACAACCCTTCTTAGTTGTCTCACAGGTATCTCAAAGTTTGCCAAAATCAAATTCTGCTCTAAGACCTATTTCTCCCCCAGCTTATCTCCTCTCAGAATATGGCACTACATATTCCCAGTAGTTCAAACTAGGAATCCAATACATCTGTAATCCCTCCCTTTCTCTTACTTCCCAGATCCAATCCTCAGCAAGTCTCAATGATTCTGCCTGCAAAACTGAAATTAAATCTGTTCACTTCTCTCCATTTCTACCACCCTCTTGCAGGTCCAAGCCACCATCTGTCAACATCTCATGAAAGAAAGGAAGCATGGCCACAGTTGTGGAGTTTGGCTGGAGCACAACTGGGTCTCTTGGCTCCAAATCTGAGGGCATTTTCCACTGTCTATGTCCATAGTGGAGTACTCTGGTCTCTCTGGGAAGGTGTCTGGGGATACATGAGTCTTTGCCTTCCTTTTTGAGGGTCTGGGCCTCTGCAGGCTTGGGAATGTGGCCTCTTGGAAGCCATGGGTGGAGGGTGGCATAGGGAAGTGAGCAGAGATTAGGGCAAGAGACCCCCATCAGGTCCAGGAAGCCCATTCCCCTGTCTTTGGCTGAATGGCCAGAGGCCCCTGCCAGAAACACAAAAGCTTCTAAATGATTAAAAATTTCAGATCTGTGAAATATTTGGGAAAATATTGTCTCCCACTTGAAGTTTTCCAATGTACATTTTCAGAGCAAAGGAAGCTGATTCCATCCAATTAATAAAGTCTAGAGCTCCATGAGGATTCACACTCTAATTTTTCATGCTCTAGAAAGATGCCCTTCTTGGAGCAGTGATTTCCAAACTGTGGCTAAAACCTATTTAAAACCAATTTAGTGGATCATGTACAGCATTTAAAAAACAGATCAGAATAAAATAGAAAGAAGGACATCAGAGTGCTTTGCGTGTAGTGGTGTATGCGTTGGCTTGCAATGCTTTTGTTCCAGTCTGTGTATATATGCGCTGATTATCCAAATACATTAGTGTGGCTCAAAATTAAAGAGGTTTCAAGAACCCTGTACTAGAGGAAGAACCCCATGCTTCTGCATGGGAACAGGGACTAGCAAAGGGCTTAGCTCCAGGCACTGGGAAGCTGAAGTTTCTTGTTTTGGGTCTTTTCCAGTTGCCCGATCGTGGGGTTCAACCTGCAGCCCCACCTCTTAGAGTGAGGGCCACTGGAGGGAAGGTTCTTTGTCACCCTGTCAAGGATTGATGCAGATACACAGAGATCAGTGCTTAGGCCTCTTGATGACCAGGACAACATAGAGCACTGACCTGCCTTGGGGGCAGTGTGTCGCCAATGGGGACAGGGATGAACTGGTGGCTAGTGGAGGTGAAGTGCACATACTTCTGCTCTAGCTTCACTGTCACACCTACGAAATTTAGCTGGAAATAAAAAAGCCCATGAGTAGCATCCTTCCCTGGGAGGAACTGAAGCACCCAGCAGAGATCATTGGACTCCCTCCCGGGGGGCATGACTCCCTGCTCCTCTCTCGGTTGTCCGGAACAGGACCAGTCCTGGGGCCTCACCAGGATCTCCCGGCCATGGGACACTTTGAAGAGCACCGGGAGGCGATCAGTGCCAATGAACAGGTGGCTGGAAGGGAGGAGACAAGTCCGGGAGGAGTTATTGAGCCTTGGTGCAAGTGGGAAAACAAATGGTCATGGCAAGCCTGTGGCTTTGAGGTGGCCAACCCTTGGGAGCTTGTGGAAATCCCTAAGTTGGGAAGGGGCAAGAGGAAAATCAAACATCCCCTGCAGCTGGCAGGGCGGGGTTCTCTCAGGGCGGTGGCCACTCAGGGTACCCTGAAAACACACAGCGTAAGACCAGGCTCCTCCGGGAGCCAGGGGGTAGGGGGTCTCCAGAACCGAAGTGCAGGGTGGGCAGCGGGGGAGCACCTGTATTTGAACTCCACCATCTGTTCTTGCCCAGGACTCAGGCTCCCAGCCTTGGGGCTGATGGAGAATATGCAGTTGTCTTGTATGCGCATTTGGTGTAGTTCAGTGCAGTCGAACTCTGCCGGCTCTGCCCACAGCTCCAGGTCGATCTGCTGGTCATTTGGAAAGAGGAAGGCCCTGGGGGAGGGGTACAAAGCAAGAGGAGTGGAACGTCTCAGTCAGAACACAGAGGCAGGAGCTCTGAGCCCCAGGGGGATGGAAGGAGGCTTCCTCTTGTGCCTCCCCCATTTCATGCCCCCATTTGGCAAGCTGTCCCATGCGAGGCCGAGCAATGTGGCTGTTGAAGATGCTCATTTCATAATGACCCCAAAACTGGGGAACAGAAGCAGGGCCCTGGTGACTAAACAGAAAACCGGGGATCCTGTTGTGGATGCCAGGTGGTGGGGTGCCACTTGTACATTTTGGCCACCTTGAGCCAGCTACTAACCCTGGAGAGGTCTGTGTGACAGAGCTCTTAGGAAGGGCCTTTTGGGGCACCTAGGAATCCCAGCAGCACCAACCAGGGCCCCTGGGCAGATGCCAGCTGGACTGGCACTCTTGAATCTGAGGCCAGGACAGGCATAGAATTAACACCCTGAAATGCCTCTCACTGTAGGAGAGTAGATACTGCACTCTAAGTGGCTGACAAAACAAGTGTTAGAGGGAACCCAAGGTCCCAGTCTGGAAAGGAGGACCCCTCACTCTCAGAGAGATGGCGCAGAACTGGCCTCAAACTGGGCAGAGGGTTTGAACATAGAACAGCCCGAGGGGGAAGGAAAATGGCACGCATTTGAAAGGGCTCAGCAAGAGGCAAGGAGCTCAAAACTCCTTCTAATCAATCTTGAATAGTTTTACATTGGAAATGTGAAAAATTGTTACATCGAATGCTGGTAAGTTTAGAAAGAACAGATGCCCTTGAAAACAGGTCGGGAGACAAGGAACTGCCACTACCTTTTGTTTAGGAATTTTGACAGCATCTTCTAGAATAAAAAAAAACGCATATGCCCTTTAACTGAGAAAGCCCACGTTGGGAAACTAACTTGCAGGAATAAAGTGTGTGTGCACATGTGCACATATACACTTGGACATTTGTTATAACTTCCTTTGTAGTGGCAAAAAAAACCAAAATACAAAAAACAAAAAAACAAAAAACCCCAAAAGCACTGGTGGCAACAAATATCATCCAGTAGAGTGGTTTACTAACTTAAGGGTCATTTGTGTGGAATATTATACAACTATTAAAAAGATGGAGTTAAATCTCTATGCATTGATGTGTATCCATCTGAAGGGGATGTTATTGGTATAGTGCTGAGTGAAAATATAATGCCGAGTGAAAATGTTACTGATGTAATGCTGAACAGAAAGTAAGATGAATAGTAGGTGCCATTACTGTAAAAAAAAAGATAAGAAAACAGAACAACCTTGTAACTGTGTCCACGAGCTGAGAGAGGACACATACACCAAGCCCTCCTCACCCCTGCAGAGTGGACTAGGAGAGGGAGCTGAGAGTCAATGATCCGTCTTCGATCACCCTGTCCTTTGAATAAACTGCTTTTGTCATTTTATCCAAGGGATACGGATCTGCAGCAAAACTAGAGATCTTGCTACTTCAGGGTTGGCTAGATAGTTGCAACACCTCCATTTCCCTCCCCTCCCTCCCCCAGTCTCCCTCAAATAATTTCATCCCCTCTTCCCTGCTGGTCCTCCAGTGTGGATAGCCGTCTGGGGACTGCAGTGGCCTCCCAACTGTCCCCTGCCTCAAGCTGCTAATCCACTGCTCTGCATGAATCCCCCACGCCAGACCAGAGCAACTGATCTTGAAAGTGAATCAGGTCTTCGCCACCCATCCCAGCTCACATGCCCTCGATGGCCTTAGGAAGAAGTCCAAACTCTCTGAGGGAGAAGGTTTCCAACTGCGTGCCTTGGCCCCTGCCAGCCTCCCAGCCACATCCAGGCGCCTCCCGCTCTCCCTATCAATGTTCCACCTACACTGTGTCCTTCTCTCTTACGCTGTACATGGCAGGCCCTCTGTCTAGCTGACTCTTTGCAGCCTCTCTGCCTCCTCTCCTTAGACTGTCTAGTGGTAGCTTTCTCCAAGAAGCCTTTCTGATGGATGGCACCACCATATCCAAAACAGAATGAATGACATGGCCTTTCAGGGTTGCACGCATCCTCCTGTACCCAAAGGCTGGGCTTCCCGAGACTGCCCGCAGCTGGAGCACAGGGCCTGGGCACATCAGCACTTCTATTCTGAAGGGAGGGCCTAATGTTTAGCCAATGCCTTAATGAGTGCATGAGGGAAAAAATGATATTAACCAGGAATCTCCCCTTAAATGCAAGACCTCACATGACCCTGGGCCAAGAGCAGAGGGACCAGAGAATGCCTGAAGAGAGCAGGCACGTCTGTGCTCCCTGTTCCTCCCGCTCCCCTCCCACTCAGTTCTCCTCCACCTGCCTGCTGCTGCCTGCAGGCCAAGTCCACACTCCCCATTTCTTACTGGTCTTGGCAGGAATAAAACTTTCAGTCTGTTCTCTATGAGCTCAACAAAGACCGGCTAGAATTTTCAAAAATAGCCTTCTAAGAAATTGAAAGGAAACAAAAACACAAAAAGCCTAGGAGAGTCAAGCGTTCCAAGGAAGGTTCCTTGTGCTTGGAATCCTGGAAGAAGCATGGACTGCCTTCCTGAACCTCAAATGATCTCCTGATGGATGGGCCCAGCTCGGCAGGCACTCTGCCTGTTTCCTCCCGCGTTGGTTTCCAGCAACCTGGACTCTCTCCACAGAGAGTGTGAGCTGGCTTGCTCCGACACAAATACACATTCATGTGCAATCTGCCAAAATACCCTGCATTTCCATGCCAGGATACAGACGAGTGCCACTTTTCCTGACCTCGCCTCCTGGGCCCTGGCTCCTGTCCACTCAGCCCAGTGACTAGAGGGTCCAGAGCTCAAGGCGGTTCCTGGGCCCTGCCCCAGGCCGGCAGCTCCACTGAGCTTCCCCAGTCACCCAGGGCTGGGGGCCCTCAGTCCTGACCCTTCTCGCACAGGAGCCACCTAATGAGCCAGTTTCCCCAGCTCCCTCCTGCACAGTGGGGGAGCAGGGGAGGCGGACAGTCCAGAGAGTAAGGGGCGGCCACTGCCTTCTGGTGATGCAGCTCCTACCCCAGCTTCACCCCCACTTACCCCAAGACCCTGCTCAGGCAGGAAGCTTCCTGAGATTAGATGCCCAGGCATACATATTTTCACCTTTCTTTAACCACTGTTGCAGCCAGCCTGGGCCCCTGGCTCTCTCTCCTAACCCTGATCCACATGGGGACACTTCTTTCTCACCTCTGCTTAGCCAAGCAAAGTTGGAAGCCATCAAAAGAAAGTTTACTAGGAAATCAAGGCACGTGGCAGAGGCAGGGAGGAAGAACGAGAAGAAGCCCTGGCATGGAAACAGGATGTTTACTGGGCAGAGGTTCAGGGCTCCAGGGGAGCAAAGCTGAGCACAGGAAGGGCCAAGCTTGGCATGCTCGGGCCTCCAGGCCGGGGCCATGTGACTGAAGAAGTGTGGCCTGCTCTGGAGCCAGACTCTGCTCTTTCTGGACACTGGTTTTGGCCTTCCCTGCCACAGACTCATCTCCATGTAGGCTCAGCTTCACTGCACTGGGGCTCTGTCAGGGGTGCACAGTTCCTGGAATGCAACAGATGCTCAATGGAGACTTCTTGGTCATTCCGCTGAGATGACCATGCCAGTCTCCTACTGGGGTGATTCCACACTTCTGAGCCTTTTGAACATCTCAGCCAGTGATAAGTTCCATGTCCTGCTGGGCCATCCCAGTCCCACCCTGGCCTCCATACAGCATCAATGGGGGCCCGATTTTCACAGACACCAGACAGCTAGGTTTACCGCCACCAAGAGAAAGAATCCAGCCCATCTCCCAGGCCTGCCAGCATACCAGTCCAGGGCAACCACTCCACTGTTCTTCAGGGCCAGGAGCACCACCGATGGTGGGGCCTCAATTGGCGCTGCCCCAAAATTGAAGTCAAGCTTCAGAGGGGTAAAGACAGGGGGGATCTGTCTGGTGCTGTGTGGAGCAGAGAAACGGGTTCAGAGACAGGGATGGAACAGGATGGGGCCCTCCCAGGGGTGGCTGGCTTGGCATTCACTTCCCTACAGGTGGGATGTGGAGAATCAGGGGCAGGGGCAAGCACAGGCTAACATGTCAGACCTCAAGCCAATCCCTGACTTTTCCAGGCCCCTCCAGGGATGGTGAGAATTTGGGGGCAGATAGGGAGCCACTTCTTGGATAGGGCCTGGTGCTGGGGCTGTGGGCAGAGAGCTCCAAGAACATCCCTAGAGAGGCCCTGCCACTCCCCCAGGCCCACCTCACCTGTGCCGGGTGGGCACCTCATAGGTGAGCTCGCAAGGGGTAGGGTCACGCTCCAAGTAACTGTTGAGCATGTCCAGGGAGAAGAGGCGCCACAGGTGCTTCCGGGTGATGCCCTCGGCGCTGCCTGTGGGGTGGACATCCAGGATGGAGAGTAAGGGGTACACAGCTGTCAGGAAGACACAGCACAGCTCCTGTTTTTCCCCGACCTTGTTATCTGAGGGAAGGAATGTGGAAGAGAAGAGCGGGTTCACCTCACAGGTTCCTGGGGTGGGTGTACAGGCTGACAACCTGCCCCAGGAGCATCCCGGGGCAGCAGGTGTCTCTGGGCTCTGGGACATCGCCAGCCCGACTGATACTTCCCACACTCTGGGCACCATGTCAGAGCTTCACGTCCATCCCGCATTCAGTGTGCACCGAGATTTGTTTTCAAACTAATCTTGCTAACAGATTTTTTGAGATACAATTTATATACTATAAAATTAACCCATTTAATGCATACAAATCAGTGAGTTCATCTATTCACACAGTTGTGCAATCACCACTACTTAATTCTAGAGCACTTTCATCACCCCCAAAAAGAAACCTGGTGCCAAGTAGCTGTTGTCACTCCCCATTCATTCTCTGCCCCACCCCTGGCAATGACTGATCTGCTTTCTGTCTCTATAGATTTACCTATTCTGGACGTTTCACATAAATGGAATCATACAGTATGTGGCTTACTGTGAATGGCTTCTTTCACTTGGCTTAAGTTTTCAAGGTTCATCCCTGTGGTACCATGTATCAGTACTTCATTCCTTTTCCTTGCCTGTGCCCTGTTATTATCCCCACCTTATAGATGTGGAAACTGAGGCATAGGGACATTCAACAACTTGCTAAGATTACATGGCTCACAGGCATTGGGCCAGGGTCCAGTCCCAGGCAGTCTGGATTGAGTCCACACTCTAAGCCACTCTCCTGGGCTGCCCTGGATTCCTCCCCGCTGGCCCAGAGAGGGCTGGTAGCAACTCCATTTTACAGAGGAGGAAGTCAAGGCCCAGGGTGGCTGGGGATTTGTCTAAGATCACACAGTAAATCAGCACAGCTTCAAACTCCTCACGTTGAGTCCTCTGCAGTTCAGGTGCATACATACGGCCACCACACAGACAGATGTGGTTAATAAGAGGCATGCACAAGAGGTACCCAAAGGCACACCCTGGTATGCTCATACTCACTCTGTTAGTTTTGTCTGGACCCTCAGCATCCACCCCCATCAAGTACTGCTCACACACCACCCCGCTGCCCCCCGCTTCCCTCCCTGGCCCTGACTCTCCATGCCACACATCCCAGATACCTCTGTGGGAGAGGAGAGAGTAGCTGATGGTCCAGGAGTACTGGGACCGCTGGTTGGGACAGGCAGTCAGGCAGATGGTGTCCTGGGACCGTGGTGGCATGCTCCCCTCTGTGCGGTCCAACTGCAAAACTGCTCAGGGATGACCCGGGTGAGGCCAAGGGCAGAGGAGGCCCTCAGTACAGGCCAGAGAGGCCCAGCCTCTCCTCCTGCTCCTTCCCAGACACTCTCCCATGGGCCAAGAGAGCACTGGCTAGAGAGCAGGCCCTGAGCCAATAAATGGGGTGAAGAGTCCCTCCTCCCAGAGGGGAACTGTCTGTGTCATTGGCACCTGCAAAGCCTTTTGCTCCACCTAGCAGCTCTGAGGTAGGCGCCAACAGTGTGATTTTACAGATGTTGTACAATCACCGTTTTAGATGAGGAAGCTGAGGTTCAGAGAGGACAAGTGCCCGCCCAATGGCACACATCTAGAAAGCGGAGCAGCAAGTGTGAAGCCTTGCTCTGCCTACCCTTGAACCATGGTCTGGTTAACCAGTCTTAACTTAACCAATGCCCTTCATTGCCCACCTCCCTGGCCCCAGCCCAGGCCCAAGTACCAGGAGGGTCATTGCTGATGACCTCAGGGCTACACTGTTCCAGGGACAGGCGATAATAGAGGGTGCAGTTGCCATCATTCAGAAGCACCAGCATCCTGGACTGCTTGCTTTTCACCAGCATGTTCCCAAAGTCAAGTTCCTTTTCCTTTGCCTGAGGGCCAGAGTTAGCCAGCCCAGGTGCAGGCTCCCCCAGGCCCACGGTCCTGGCCTCAGAGAATCCCCAAGGAAGGCAGTCCAGGGTATGGGCCGGGGAGGCCAGAGGATCCCATCCCCTGCCCTCTTGGAGATGGGCACCCTGGGCCTTCCCTCTCATCGATGCCCTGGCCCCGCATCTCCCATCCCCCACCCCCACTAGGGTCCTCCCACTCACAGAGAGACTGCTGGTGATGCCCAGGCCCACCAGCCGGAGTACGTAGTGGGTGGTAGCAGGAGGCTTGACTTTTGGGGGTAGGCCAGCTTCCCAGACCCACATCCCCACTCGGAACAGGTACTTGGTCTCCTCCAGAGGACTGAAGGTCCACATCAGTGTCTGGAGTCACAGAGATTATCTCTGATGGGGGTTTCCAGCAACCCCCTGCCCAGGCTCCTGGATGTGTGAAGTCCTATTGCAAGATTATCAAGCTATGATAACCCTTTCTGAGTGTTTACCCTATACCAGGCACTTCACACACATTGCATATTATGTTATTTCCCTAAGCCCCTCAATCTTTTATCCCCACAAAGTAAATGGTGTTATTTTAGTGCCTCGTTTTCTGATGAGAAGGTGGACACTCAGAGTAGTGGGGTAATTTGCCCAAGATCACACAGCTGTTGAAGGCACTTGGTGGGAGCTGGGGTGTGAACTCCTGAGTCTGTGTGGTCTCTCACCTCCCTGATTACTGCCCCAGGGTTCTTACAGACACTGTGTGTTGGTGGTCCTTGGCCCAAGTTTGGCCTCCCCAAGCAGTGTATAGGGCCCTACACTGGGAATGGAGCCTAGCTAGTCTGGATGCCAGCCGATGCCCCAAACTCCAGACTACCACTGGGATCTCTAAGAGTCACTTCCTTGCTCCTTGATGACAGCCACCCATTTGGCCCTAAACCCAGCTGCTCCAAAGCACCTTCCAGTGACCTCACAGCTTTGGGTACCATGGATGGAGAGTAGACTGACCCCTGGGCACTAGCGTCAGAAACCCTGCTTCAAGTCCCAACTCTGCACCTCCTAATTTATAATCTTAGTAACTGGCTTTTCCTTCTCTAAGTCTCAATTCTTCCTTATAGAATGGGGGTGGTGATAACAGTGACAATCATGCCGACCCCTTAAGATTGGGTTGGTGATTACGGGTTGGCACAGAGGAAGCCTGGCCCCTGATAGGCATGAGTAAGAGAAGATAGTGAAGGTGAGGGTGACAGGCACTCTCCCCTCCAGCCCTCGGCACTGGGGAAGGGCACTCACAAGGCTCTCATTGGGCTGGATAATCCCCCTGGAGGGCTGGACGGCCAGCACCTTCTGGTACTGCTGGGAGACCCTCCACTCAAATTCCAGAGGCAGACGCGAGGGGTTATGAAAGGTGAAGAGACTGGTGGAGGAACAGCTGACCCAGGTGGGCTTGAAGAAGATACTTCTGTCAGTGTCCAGCTGCAGCTGCGGCAGCTCCTCCCGGCTCTGCATGCTCACCTCCTGGGGCCAGAGGGCGGAAGGCAGTGCTCTGTCCTCACCCCACGGCCCTGTATCCCTCTAAATGTCCAGGAAGCCATAGGTGGGGCAGCATTTGCCCCTTGAAGAGGACAGCAAAAGGCCCTCTGCCAGCTTGGGTATGGGGAGCTTCCATCCAAGTCAGAGTAGGTAGTGACCAACCAAGAAGATGGTTCTTAAAAAGGACTCAGGAACTGAGCGGAGATATATAGACCATTTCATGGGCCAGACCTGGGTCCTCCACGCCAGATACTTTGCCTGGCCTGGCCCCAACACTCTTTACCACCTGCAGATCTAAGTCTTATGTTGCCCCTGCTTTTTCCTTTGGAACCTTTGCACCCCTTTTCTTGTCCTAGCCCCATGAGGTAGACAGGCAGGGCCCTGAGGGGTGGGAGAACTGTTCACAGATGTGGTCAAAGGGTCCTTTCCCTGCTGTGCCACTTTCTGGAAGAGGGCCCACCCTCAAGGACCCAGTCCTCTATCTCCACCTCCTACCTTGAGATACTGGGGGCACAAATTGAACTGCAAGTAGAAAATGTGCTGTTTCCAAGAATTGCCCTTGGGGTAGGTACAGATGAGGAGGATCTGGTGGGCTCCAGGGGCCACAAGGCCTGAGCTGGGCCGTAGAGAGATGTCTGAGCTGCTTTGGGGGGCCAAGTTGAAGGTCAGCAGCATGGAGCCTTTGTTGGTCAGGAGCAGGCTGCGGTAGGCGGGTTCACTAGGGGACACTGCCGGAAATAGCTGGGGTGCGAGAGAAGAGAGACCAGTCCTCAGATCTATGTAAGTGCCACATGTCCCCACGGGCACATACTCTCAGGGAGTCTATGTGGGCTTGTGAGGGGCCATCTGCAAGGAGATCCAAGACACCTCTGTGCTTCCCAGTCAATGCCCTGGGATCAGAGCATGGGGGGACACAGCCTGGCACCAAAAATGCTTCTGCCCTCCAGAGACCTCCAGACAGGGAGTGCAGTGGCCACAGGAACTGGCCCTGGGAAACTCAGGCATCCCAGACCCCACCCAAGGTTAATTAAAATTTCTTTCATTTTAGGGTGCTCTCAAATCATCCTTTGGAGAACCCACTTTCAGAGACCCTGACCCCAAAGGTCTGAGGTAAGTAGTACCTTTTAAACGATTCTCATGTGGGTGACTGAGGGAACCCCACTTTGAGAAAGTGAAAGCTCCAGCAATCCCAGCTTCCGAACATTCCCTAAGCATCTAGGGTGCGGCCAGAACCAGGCTAAGAGCCGAGCAGGCTACAGAACAGAAGGCCTGAAATCACTGACCGGGTGCCCCCCACCAGCTGGAGAACAAGTGCATGTGCATGAGGGAGCAGGTGGGTGTCTCAGGCCCGCCGGACTTCAGCACAGGCCACAAACCACTGGGAGGAACTGGCCAGGGGAAAGGAACAGGGGCTCAGTGAGGGAACACCATGCCGTCAGAGGGCTTCAGGAAAGGGCACCCTTGGGCTGAATCTCAGGGGTGGAACAGGTTTGGGAACAGGTCTGGGGGGACAGAAGTTGGCTGGTAGGAGGGAGCAGGATTGCCCCGGAACACATTGTCCCAAAGCAGCAGCACCTTTCCAGCAATGTGAGGCTGGAGAGCTGCAAAGATGATGAAAAGACGGTTGATGGCAATGCAAGCTGGGAAGAGGCATCCAGGAGAAACCAGAATTGGAACGGGGCTGTCTGGCATCAGGGTGCGTGCTTTTCAGCCTTATGTCATCCTGCTGCTCAGGTCAGACAGTGCCTCCAAGGGCCCTTCAGAGAAGCCTGGAAACTACACCACCCTGAGGAAGCAGTTAGGTCAAGGGGCGGGCTCTGCAGCCCCACCTCAGGCCGGGCATCCCCAAGCGCAGGGGCTCAGAGCAGGGCGGTCATGACCCTAGCGGGTGCTCAGGAAACACACAAATGAAGGTGCTGGAGTTTTGCACCTGAGTGTGAGAAGCTCAGGGAATAGTTCAGATGGAGCAGAGAGGAGCCGGACTTCCCAGCGCCTGTACTGTGGCCCAGAAGAGAGTCCTCAACTGGCCCAGGGCTCCAAGGACTGGCGGTGAGAAGTTTGGGATGGCCAGTGGGGTTGTTTCTGAGGCCAGCAGAGCAGGAAGAGGGATCTGCCAGCCAAGGCAGAACCAGCCTCCCTGTCCCACCTCCCGCTGCTGCTGGGGCCACGCTCACCTTGGGGGCATCCAGGGAATACTGGGGGATGTGGTGCTCCATGGCAGCACCATAGCTGTGGCCTCGCACCCGGAGAGTCAGGCACCAGGACGGGCACACGGTGCAGTCCTCCTCAATATCATTGTAGCACTGCAGGACCTACATGGGAGCCAGACCCATGGACAAGCTCAGAGTCCTGTATCTGACACTGTAGGGCACCCAAGCTTGACCCCCTGTACTGCAGAAATTCTACACGGGATGGAGAAGGGAGGAGCTCCCTGGGAAGAGAGGGCTGAGAGCGGTGAGAACGGCCTCCCGCTGCGTGCTGGGCCTGCTCTGAGCGTTCAGCAAACATGCTCTTTAATCCTCACAGCAGCGCCTGCCCAGGCTTGGGCTGGGATGTGAAAACAGCATTTATCCTGCAGGAATTTGCCTAGAGAAGAGCTGGCCAATAGAAATATAATTTGAGCCACAAATGCAAGCCACAACCATAATTTTAAATGTTCTAGTAGCCACGTTAACAAAGTGAAACATGTGGAATTAATTTCAATAATGTGCTTTATTTAACCTAAAAGGTCCAGAATCTTATCATTTCAACATGTAATTAATATAAAAGTGATGTGGGAGACATTCTACATTCTTTCTATGCTAAGTCTTCAAAATCCAGTGTGTCTTACAGGACATCTCGGTTTGGACTAGCCACATTTCAAGGGCTCAGTAGCCACCTGCGGCTGGTGGTTGCCCTATCAGGCAGCACAGGGCTAGAGCCTATAGCCTGATGGGCCCAAGCATTGACAAAGCCTGGTGTCCACAGCCTTAATCCTACAAACCTCCACATTCTCCTGCTGCCAAGATATTGGAACAGAGGTAACTAAAGACTTGGCTTTGGAGAGCCTTCTCAAAAGTTCGGGTATAATGCCAAATTTATCGACTATGAGATTAGGGCTCAGGGGTTTTAGGAGACTTGCCTAAGGTCACACAGCTGGTAAATGACTCTGATCTTGATGGCACCCCTATTCTTCTCTCAGCCCCTGGGCTGCTGGGGAAGAAGAGCAATGTGGCAGAGCTAATGAGGAAGGGACAGGGCAGGACCAGTCTGAGATCAGGGGGGGAGCAAAGTGTGCCTAGGACCAAAAGGCTGGGCTGGGGACAGCCTGCACTCCAAGTTCCCTGGCCAAGGGAAGTCGTGCTGGAGGCCACTCCACACACATACTGAATTACCTGGAGCCTCTGACACTGCCCCTCAGGCCCTGGCTCCTTTCCATGGCTCTTTCAGAGGGACCGCTTCCTACTCCCAGGACTAAAGAGAAGCCAGGAGCCCCCCTAGCTAGAAGCCCCAGAGAGCTAATCTCTGTGCACCAAATTTTCCCAAAAGATTTTACCCCAGATGAGTTCTCCCACTGCAGGGAGCAGGAGGCCACATATGATGAGACATCATCAGGTGGACCAAGAAGTCCCTTGGCCAAGGCAGGCCAGGAGCCTGAGAGAAGACAAACCACTAAGGATCATGGCCTGGTGGAGGAGAAGAGCCTGGCACAGAGAGGGTGGATCTGACTGTACGCCTGTCACCCCTCTGTCTGCCCCCAGCCATTCAGGCTCCAGGGCAGGTAACTTGCCTTCCCAGCCTGCCTGCACTCACCTTATAGACAGCGAAGGCTTCAAGCTCCATGGCATGGAGGCAGTTGGGGTAAGGTGGCTGGAAGTGCAGGCGCAGGGCCATCGACTTGAGTGGGGGCACGTCGCAGGTGTCTGGGGTCACCCAGAAGGGGCAGTCAGACCTGCGTGTCCAGACCACAGTGATCTTGCCCTTGGTGTGGTTCATCAGGCACAGGGGGACAGGGTTGGGGTCCACGGGCCTGGAACAGGCACCAAAATCCACCTCAACAGGCTCTATACTGACAGGTGGGGGGAAGATTGCCATGTCGTTGGAGCCATCAAAAAAGTACTCAGTCATGGGGGGGATGAGGGGGTACTGCGGGGCTGGCATGTCCTCCAGGTCCTGTGTGGGGAGAGACAGGTGAGCAAGGACCAAATGCCATCCTCCCGCCACTGCCCCTCACCTGTGTGCTTCTTTCTGGGAAAGCCTACAAGAGCTCCACACAGGCCACCCCCAGCTACTAATGGTGCCCACAGGGCCCCCAGGAACTGCTACAGAGTGGGGCACGAACCCGGGGAGGGTGGCCTGCCCCAGGGGGCCCAGAGGAGCGCTGCCAACCTCAGTGGGAATCATGAGGGCTCCGTTCTTATCCTGCTCCAGCTTCTTCTCTCTTAGCATGATGCCCAGAACGTCCGGGGGGTAGAGGGTCAGGCCCCGCACCAGGTGTGTGCGGTACCAAGCAAGATGCTGAGGTCTCAGGACAGCCGGCTTGGTTTTGTCTGAATGGCAGGTCCCAATCAGGTCCAGGAACAGCGGGTCCTGTGACATTTGCCATGTTAAGGTGGGTTTCAGCCCACCCCTTGCTACCTTGGCCAGGCACCAGCTGGTCGGCACAGTGTATGTGACCTTGCCCAGGCCATGGGCTGGGGGCCTCACTTCAAGGCTCTCTGCCCTGTACATGCTGCGTGGGGTGAGGTCCAATCCTCTCTCTTCCCGGCCCATTAGCAGCAGCAGCAGAAAGTCTCCACCTGGCAGGCAGGCTAAGACCGGCACACACACCTGGCTCTCAGTGGGCCCTCACGTGCCCCTGGCCATGCTCTGGCTCCATATGCTAGGGGATGATCCAAGCAGACAGCCCTAGATAGTCCCTGAACACAGGGGAATGACCTCCAAGCATTATATTCATCACTGGGCCTCAGATTGGCCCCCAGGACCTCCCCAGAGCTGGCCTACCCCACAACCACTCACCTGGTGGTGGATGAGACAGGCCACCCGCCGAAAGTAGATGATGGGGTGAGTGGGCTGGAAGGCACAGTGCAGGGTCATGCGGGCCTTGCCCACCAGGGTCCCAAAGGTAGGTCTGATGCTGAAGACGCTCTCCTGGCAGTCAATGGCAAACTGGAAGTGCGCTGTGCAGTCTAACTTGTTCTCAATCCAGAGGGACTTCTCTGAGTGCTCCCCGAGGTTGACCCAGCTGAAGTTGACACAGTAGTGCTGCAGGGACACACCAGGACCTGGGCAAAGTTGATGGGGTTCTTGTGAGTAGGCTCTGCCACCTGGTTGGGGCCGGGGTATCCATTTCCCCGAGGGTGTCTCAGAAAGGTTCCCACTGATGGGAGGGGCTGCTGTTTGGAGACAGAAGGCTGGGTCGGAAAGGCCTGGAGCCCCAGCAGCCTGAGCAGACCTCCAGGTCCCAAGGCGGGAGCATTTTCTCCAGGTGTCTGCAATGATTCCCCCGATGAGCCACCAGGGGGCAGCAGACACCCAAGCTGAAGGGCAATGAGGCGTCTGGCCCTTAGGAACAGGTGGGGAGTATTTCCCTGGCCTAGGCGTGGGCTGCTCCTGTCCCCAGGGGCGGTGCAGTGTCCTGCAGTTGCCAGTACCTCTACAGAAACCAACGAGTTTGAGCAGGGTTTGGGAGGCACAGCCAGAGGGCACAATGGACAAGTAGTCTGTAGTTCTGATGTTCAAAGTTTCTGGGCAGAAGAAGACTGACACGCATTTCTTCTCTCCTGGGGGCACGATGCCATGCGTTGTGGGGCATGAGAAAGCCAGGTCTTTAGCCTGCATGTCTGGGGCCACTTTGATCCTGAAAGGAGCACTCACCTGTGATGGGGCAGGAGGGGGCAGGTCAAAGGGTGGAGCAGACTGTCATCACCGAGGTGCCCAGCTGAGGGGCTGAGGCAGCTGGCATCCAGCCTGTGCCTCACTTTTCAGCTCTGAGCATGGGATAAAGCCGTGTCCACCAGCAGGAAGGATGAGTTCAAGCCATGTACCCTGCACTGGGACCATAGGGGGGCTGGGGAGAACATTATTTCTTTCCCTAAACGTACCATAAATATTAGCTGTGGTCCTGGAGTCAGGACAATCTTAGTGCTCCTCTGGGGGCACTAACCCACAGCTGAGAAGGGGGGGGATGCCTGTGATGCTGATGCATGTGGTTATCAACAGACAAGAGTTACACGAAGCTTAGGGCCAAAGAGATGGGAAGAGGGGCACTTTGGTTTTAGGAGCACCCCAGCCCTGTGGTCCCTGAGTCCTGCCCCGGCTCACACACAGGATGCATACTACCACATACACAGGACGGGTTATATAGCGTGATCTGCCTCTTGGCGGTGCAGCCCACAGCAACAGAGCCAAAGTGTAACACTTTCTGGACACCCTCGACATCCTGGTCCTCTGGTCGTTTCTGCTTTATGCTCACCAGCAGCTGGGCACATTTGGCTGGGGCAGAGAGGGGAGTCTTGGGGAGAAACCCACAGAGCCACTTTGGCCCCAGCTGAACAGCCCCTAGAAGAATGCAGGTGTCCCCAGGGAAAAATCGAACTGCAACTCAAAGGAAGGCAAAGAAAAGGTAAAACTTGCAGAGTTGGGGGAGGGCAGGAGGCTGGTAGAGGTCTTGGGGGGGCCAGGAGGGTGGTGGGTGAGGGGCACAGTGAGGCTTTGAGGCCCAGGAAGTGCAGCAGGGGGCTCTGGGGATGGGTGGGAAGTGGGGCCTCACCTGCAGCCTGCAGCTGGATGCTGCTCCTCTGCCTGCTGCCCTCCCCATACAAGCACATAGCCTGAACTTGGTAGACGGTAGCCATAAGGGGCTGAACGGTCACCTGGATCTGGCAGGCCTCACCTGGCTCCAGCAGCCTCTTTGTGGGCAGAATCTGGAATGGGCTGGGGACCTCCCAGTTGAAGAAGGTGGGTAGGTCCCTGGAAAGGGTGCAGGTCAGAGCCACAGGGCTTGTTCTGACCACTGCCCCTGCTTTAGAAGGGCAGAGACACTGGGCAGCCCTGTTACTCCCCCCACCCACTTCCCCCACCTGACATAAACCCTCCTTACAGTTCTCACTGCCCACTTCTGGGCCTCAGGCACTCCCTCACCCCACATTGTCCAAGCAGAACCAGGCCTCAGCCGTGTCTCCCACGGCACACATGGGCAACTGCAGAGATGGTGGGCAGGCCAGACTGTAGCAAGGCAGGGTGGCCCTCAGGTCCACACAGAACATCCCCTCTGCTTTCTCAAACCACAGCTGGTCCACGTAGTCCTTCTGCACCACAGGATGTTGGGGACAGAGGGGAAGAGGCAATTGCTGAGCAGTGGTACCCAGATGGCAACCAGGGACCACACCTTGGCCATCCCCCCAACACAGCCACTGAGGGTGGGCTGGGCTGTGACTCTCCCTGTCAGTCTCCACAGAAGCACTGGTTACTTGTGTTCCAACACTGTCTTGGTCTCAGAGATATGGGGCCTCTTTTGTGAGGAACAAAGGATTTGGGGGGACATCCTGAGAGCAGAAGAGGCCAAGGGATCTAGGGTTCTCTGAGGCCAATAGGAAAGTATCACAGCCTTTAGTGTCCAGCATCTAAATGGGATTCTGCTCTAATGACTTTAGGGTCTGAGCTTCTCTAGGGCTTTCTAAGCTGGAGTTTTGCTGCAGTTGGTGGGATGTGTGTGGTCAGGGAACTCCTCACTGCTCTGCCCTGCCTCCTGTTCCAAGGTCATTGTGTCTGTGTCCTGCTCTGCCTTCTGTTTGCAGTGGAAAACCTCACCTCCTCCAGGGGCCGGAAGATGATAGGAAGCATGAAGGTTATGCCTGGGCTCAGGAAGATGGGCTGAGGGATGACTGTGAAGAAGAACTTGGTCTTGGGGGGCCTGCAGGAGACAGCCAGGGAGCCAGCATTCAGGGCTTAGAAAACCAGGAGGTGCAGAAAGATGAGGGAAGACCCTGGAAAGCTGAGGGGGCTTGATTCCTTGGGACCATGGAAGGGAAAACACAGGGATCTGTCGCAGGACTTGGCTCCCTCATCTCACTACTTCTCCTTCAGGCCTTCACTCCAGGATGTCAGAACAGTGAACCAAAAGATACAAGACTGAGGAAGCAGCACTTGCACCTTGAGGCATGTGGAGGATCACTGGGGACTGGGATGGGGAAAGTTGCCCAGATTTAACCAAATCTCTGAGCACTTAGCTGGGGGGAACCAAAGCTGAAAATGGAGGTGCTGGGATGCCTTTCCAAGCAGACATATCAGCAGATCTATAGAGCTCTGGAGTGGGTCAAAACTGTAGATCCTGCAGACCTCAGCACTATTAATAAGAAGGTGATATTGCCAACAACTCTATACCAATAAATGTTAGAGTTTAGATGAAATAAACGTTCCTAGGAAAGTATACCTTGCCAAAACTGATTCAAGAATTATACAACAAATTTTATGGCCATTCTACCTGAAATCATCAAAGAAATTGAGTAGTTGAAACTCTTCCCACAAAGGAAATGTTAGGCTGATGGCTTCACAGCAAGTCCCACCAAGTATTTGATAAAGAATAATTCTAGCTTTCTCTTTCCAGTAATATAAAACGAGGATATACTCCCCAGCATATTCTATGATCCCGCCAGTGTTGTTACCAAACCTGACAGAGGCAGGAGAAGAATGGAAAGGTACAGGCCAATCTCACTCATAAAAACATATTAGCCAAAAGGATTTCTCAATCTATAGAAAGAATATTTAATCATGACAATGTTGGGCTTATTCTAAGGATTCGTGGTTGGTTTAACATAGACAATCAACATAATTTATCATATTAACAAATTAAGAGAGAAAAAAATCAAAGTAAAATATTAGATCAACTTCAACATATGTTTACAAGAAAACTCTCAGCAATGTAGGAATAGCACAGAACTTTCCTAGCCTAATAAAGTGTGAAAAAAAAACTACAGGAAACACACAAATTAATGGTGAAATATTGACATCTTTAACTTGAGATGATGAGCAAAACAAGGATGCCCTCTATAACCACTTCTGTTCAAGCCTTTTCTAGTCAATCAGCACAGTAAGGAAAGACAAAGAAACAAAAGGTATAAGGATTGGAAAGGAAGAAAGAAAATTGCCATTTCCTTACACAATATGAATGTGTAACAGGGAAAAAAAGAATTAGCAAATATATTATTAGAATTTATGAGAGGAGTTACCAAGGTTGCAGATACAAGGTTTTGGATATATTTTAAAAGTTACTTTCTGAAAAAATCAACAAGCAGAAAATGAAACAACTTTAAAAGATATTATATACAACATCATCAAAGCTATAAAATACTTAGTAATAAATTGACGTAAAGATGTGTAAGACATCCATGGAGAACATTTTACATTTGATTGAGAGACATGAAAGAAAACCTAAGTAAATAGAAAGATACATCATGTTGATGAAAGACCCAACTTGTAATGATGTCAGTTCTCCCCAAAGTGATTTTTAAGTTCAATAAAATTCCAATCAAAATCTCAAAAAGTTTTTTATGTGTATGTGAGATAAGCTGGTTTAAGATTCATATGAAAACTTCAAGGGCCACAAATAGCCAGGACAATCTTGGATAAGAGTGAAGTTGTAGGACTTATATTACTAAATATCAAGATTTACTATGAGAGCTAATAATTAATTCAGGTTGATACATTTGATTTCTTTGAAATCAAAAACTTCTATTCTTCAAAAGACATGATAAAAAGAGGACAGGACAAGTCACAAGGTGGGAGAAGATATTCACAACACGTAACTGACAAAAGATTAGTATCCACAATAAGAACTTCTACACAAAGACAACCTGACAGAAAAATGGGTACAGACTTGAAGAGGAATTTCACAAATAAAATGGTCAATAACAGTGCACCCCTATGTTTATCGCAGCATTATTTACAATAGCCAAGAAATGGAAGCAACCTAAGTGTCCATCAGTAGATGAATGGATAAAGAAGATGTGGTACATATACACAATGGAATATTATTCAGCCATTAGAAGAAAACAAATCCTACTATTTGCAACAACATGGATGGAGCTCGAGGGTATTATGCTCAGTGATATAAGCCAGGTATAGAAAGATCAAGTACCAAATGATTTTGCTCATCTGTGGAGTATAACAACAAAGCAAAACTGAAGGAACAAAACAGCAGCAGAATCACAGAACCCAAGAATGGACTGACAGTTACCAAAGGGAAAGGGACTGGGGAGGGTGGCAGGGGGGAGGGATAAGGGAATTAAAGGGCATTATGATTAGCAAACACAATGTAGTGGGGGGGCACAGGGAAGGCAGTATAGCACAGAGAAGACAATTAGTGACTCTGTAGCATCTTACTACACTGATGGACAGTGACTGTAATGGGGTATGTGGTGGGGACATGATAATGGGAGGAATCTAGTAACCACAGTGTTACCCATGTGATTATATATTAATGATTCCATAATAAAAAAAAGAAAATAAAAAAGAAAACACACAAAAAGAAAAGAAATGGTCAATAACAGGAAAACATTTAACTGTATTAATAAGCAGGGGAAATGCAAATTAAAACAACAAATTATCATTATAGGCAAAAATTTTAAATCACAACAATAGAGATGTTGGTAAAGACATAGAGGAATGGGAATTCATATGACTAGAGTGGGGATATAAATGGATACAAGTACTTTGGAAAATACTTGGGCTTTATCTATAAAAAGCAAACATGTACATGTTCTAAGTTACAACAATTCCACTCCTATATATATAGCCTAGAAAAACTCTTGTACTTATGCAACCAGAGATGAGATGTTAATGATCTCCAAACTGGAAAAAACCCCAATGTCCCTCAGTGAAAGAATGGATGAATATGTTATATAAGCACACACTGGATCATTATACTGAGGTGAAAAAGGGTGAACTCTAGCTGCACACGGATCTCACAAACATAACTGAGCAAAATAAAAGAATTATAAAAGTATACCATATTATTATACTTATATAACATTCATGAGAAGGTAAGGATATCATTTAGGAATGCAAACCTAGGGGGTAAATCCATTAGAGAAAATCAAGGAAATCATTATCATGGAAGTCAGGACAGTGGTCACCTTTATGGGTAGAGGAAGTGTTCAATAGGGGAGGGACACATAATGATAGAAGGTGAGGTTCAGACAGTTATTATTCCATTATTTAATCTGGTCACATGGATTCCTCTTTCAATAATTATTCAAACTGTATGTGTTTTATACACATGTTTTATGACATCTTTAAAGTTTTTTTTTTTAAGTCTGCTTTGGGGACTTGAGGGCTCAGAGGCTAAGCCTCTGATCCCTCATACTGGTACCTGTACTTCATCTTCTGTATTTTCAGGGATAGATTTTTCAGAGCCAGGTTCTTGGTAATCTCCTTTCCTAGCTCCCAGCCTTTCCATTGCAGCTCCTCAGCCACCTCAATGCCCCACATGACCCTCTTCTTCACTTTGTCTTGCTTCCTTGGGAAGCACGTTTGAGTGTCCATGAAGCTGGTAGGCTGTTCGGTTGCCAGAAAGAAGGGGGAGAAGAGAGAATGAATTAGCTGGGTAGGATTCCAAGACCCAGAGAAGTGGCAAAGATCTCCCCACCTCCAGAAAGTAATGAATTACATCACCCCTCACCGCCGAAGGATGGTCTGGAGAAAGAAGGTAAGGAACAGTCAGATATTACCTCTTCCAAGTAGTAGTTTTCCAGCCAGATTCCCTGTGAGCTGCCCCTGAAGCCTTTCTTGGGCCACCCCCCTGGGACATTCCATCGGCACACCGAGCAGTCTCAGTTGGCCTTTCCATTCCTCTGACACTGCTGCCTTCAGGTGCTGCCGCTTCCTCCCCCTCCCACCCCTTCACTACGGAAGTCGCTCCTAGTTGTAGCAGTCTATGCCAGGCACTTTTCCAGACCACAGAGATACTCCATCATTCCTTCTCCCATCCCTCAGGTGGTTGGTGGAGCAGAGAAAGGTGCCAATTTACCTGCAACCAACCTCCATCCCACGCCCTGATAGGGCCACTCCAAGCACGGCTCATAATGATGCTAGAGGTGCAATGTGCCAACACTTCCCATCTATAATGGCAAACCCTTCACGGGTTGATCCTTAACCCTTATCTATTATCTAAGGAGGGTGAGGAATGGAGAATCCCCTAGTAGCAAACTGGAGGGAGTATGAACCAGATGCCCCTTCCTGCCCCAGTCATTGCTATGAATGCTCAACTCATTGCCATTTTATTTTATCTTTGATCAAGTGTTGCTTTTATATTGCTACATAACATAAAGATATATTCATCTGTTCAACAAATATTTGTTGACTACCTATTATGTGCCAGACACTGTACTAGGTGCCAGGACCACAATAGTGAACAAGACTAACAAATCCCTTCTCTCTTGGAGCTTATACTCTGTTTCAATATTTACAGAGAGTATCAAATGGCCAATATATTTTCTTTCCTGAATTGCCCATGGAGGAAAGGTAACATGGGTGAGTGAGGATAATTTAGTATAAATATCAATTGGTGCATCAATCAGGGTCCAACCAGGAAAACATTAGCCACTCTGGGTATTTAAAACAAAGAATGTAATGCATAATGAGGGGATCGGGAAGTAGCCTAGAAGTCAGCAACATCAAGCGGCTGCTACCACACCTAGGTCAGGGGAGGTGCGGGGGGCTCTCAGAGCCCAGAGGCCTGTCTGTGGGGAATGGAGTCCTATGGAGATAAGCTGCTGATGGAGACACTGTCAAAAGCACAGAGAGAAGAAGAGAAGTGCCCTGGCTTCTCCCTTTCTCCCATCTTCCAATTTCCTGACAACTCAGAGTAGAGCAAGAAGGGCGGCGAGTGAATCTGAGGGCAAACAGGTCTGGAATGGCACAGTGGAGTGGTGAGACGACCCCCGGTCCATAGGGAGACAAATCAACCACCATCTCATCTAACGAGAGCCAAGAATCCACACACAACATGACACATGCTGCACCAAGCAGTCACACCCTGTAGTCATACCCAGACAACTGCCTTCCCCATGCCCAGCCTTCATGCTATCACATAGAGGGAACCCCCAAAGCTGCAAAAAGCAAACAACATCCATATATTGGTCAAACACACAGTCCTAGGGGCCAAGACCAGAAGAGCTTTGAGGAAAGAGAGAACTACTGGCTACTCCTTTATCCTTCGACCAACATTCCCTAGAGTTCTCCTCCCTGCTACGGTCACTCTCGCTGCTACCATCACTCCAGTTGGCTTGGTGCTCAGTCTATGTGAGTCAAGTGTTGGGGTTTAGACGGGAGAGTCAGGTTCTTTCAGATCCCTACCTGCCCCGCTGCCCTACCACCCATCTCCTGGCCCTGACACTGCTGTCTCCTGCCCGCCCGCCTGGCTGTGTCCTCACATGGCCACTGGAATTGCTGTTGCTGCAGGCACTCATTGCCACACTGCTGCCTGTGATGGTGGGAAAGGCCACCTAGCTGGCACTCAGGCACCATCAGAGTTTGTGGTGTAGTCCCTGCTGTCCCTAGACCTCATGAGGGGTTTGGGGCTGTCTGGGTGAGGGTCAGATGCCTGGAAAATAACTCCAAGGGGAGCACTCTGGCTAAGCCAGTTTGAAGCTGGAAAGAGAACAGAGGAGAGACAGAAGCAACATGAATGGAGTAGACACGCCCTGTTATCACGGAGGAGTGCCTACTTTCCAGTGCTGGAAACAGGTGTGACATGGCATCACAAAGAACAAGCCTGAATACAAGATCCAGGGCTTTGCCTGGGAACATAAAGAGACTTACCACTCAGAAAAGGCACTTGGAAGAGGGACTTGGAGATGAGGCCCACACAGCCCTGCCCTCCATGGCCACGCCTGGCAATTTCTCTGCAAACCCCCAGTGAGTGTTACCAACGCATATGCATTACCTTTATCTGGCTTTTATTCTCTACTTGTTTCCTCTGAATGTGTCTTGCCTCCTGCAAGAAGAGGAAGAAGAGGCAGATGAGACTAGGGGGTTCTTGGCCTTTAGGATTTCCTCTATCAGTACATAACCCGTAGTCCAGGTTTAAAGTAAGCATGCACTGAAATAGTGACTCAATCCAAATATGACTGAGTCAACCTCAAGAGTAGAGGGATCCATGGATAGACTGCAGTTGGAAATTACATGCAAATATGTGCAAATGCTACAGACAAATTATATGCAAAATATCATGTGTATTTTCAAGTGCATTTTTCCTGGGACGATGTCCACAGGTTTCACCAAATGCTTAAAAGTATGCTTGGCCCTGCTCTAGGGGACACACAAGGGTGCTAAACTGGCTCTTGGCTCCATCTCAAATTCTCTCTTCCTTTAGAAGCCTTCCTTCAGCACGAACACTCAGGTGTGCTACCATATTGGACAGCATCAATCTATTACCTTTTTGAACATACGTGTATTTTTTAAGACTACTCAGTTTTCTTCCCAACCTCTTCAAGTAACAATCTCAAAGGTAATAACTTATACTAACATTTTACTAAGAACTTATCATGTGCCAAGCAGTGTTTAAGCCCTTCCTATGTATTTTAATTCTTAGAACAATTTATAATTAGGTATGAATTGTCTTTTGTTTGGCCTAAAATAATCTTTTTTCAAGTTTGGGGTCCAGCTCTGTATTATATTATGTATACTAAACATATATATTACGCTTAAGTAAACAATTTTTATAGTCACATTTTAGAAATGTGTACACTTCCATGAGACATTCTCCCATCCCCTCCCCACCACCCATGGAGAGTAAAAGATTCTGTTGATTTAGTTTTTCCTATCTGGCTACATCGCTAGACCCTCTAGAGGGAGCTCTTAGATTCGCTCACTTGTTCATTCACAAAGCATTTACTGAGTGCCTGCTATGTGCCTGTACTAGGCACCAGACAAGACAGGCATGGACCCTACCTTCAGTTTTAAAGCAGATGTTCAGAAGGGATCAAAGAAATGCAAGCTGTGGAGATAGAAAGGAGGGTTCCCACTACTTTTCTGCTTCTGGATGGCTTAGTCCTGCCGGTCTCATTAATACCTGTGACCTCAGGGGATTCAATAGACAGCAGCTGCCTCAGGGATCCGAAAAAGCCTCCAATCAAAACATGTAGAATAAATGAGAGACAACGGGGTGCAGACCAGGTATTAGGACTTACAGGAGTGAGCAGTGGTCCTGCAGCAAGGAAAGCTGGGTTCCAGCATCTACTCAGACTGATTTGAGACAGGCAAATTTCTCCACAGCTCCAAGCCTCCGTCTCCTACCCTATAAAATGAGGGGTATCCTATTTTACAAAGTTGATGTGAAGCTCACATAAAATAGGGGATTTGAAAAAGTCCTAGAGAAACCTGTTACTATAATTGGCAATCATAACTTCCACATCGGCCTGCACTACTCTCCTCACAGATGCGCACATCCGCAATCACTGTGAAGACACAGGGCAAAGGAGGTGTTTTTTAATCCAACTTTCTAATCTCGAGGGATTTAAAATATATATCATCATCTTCCTTATTTGCCTAATTTCCAACCTAAATATTCCTAAAATGACCAGTGGAAGAAGAGGTGGGTGTCGTGTGGAGTGGAGGTAGGAAGAAAGAGGGAAAATGAAAAGATAAAATATACTTAGAGCTGTTTCTCTTTTCTCTAAGGGATCCCCAGGCTGATCCCGCCCAAGTCTCAGTCCCACGAGGCTCTCTGAAGGATACAGAAGAGACCCCTGACCACGACTTCCCAAAGGACAGATATAAGGGACAGATACCCTCTCTCTCTACTCTCCCCGCTCCCCAAGTCCCTGGGACCAACGCTCGGAACTTACAGTGCCGCCATGTTTCCATAGATACAGGACGCAGGATCCGGCGTCTCTTGGTATCCCAAGACAACGACGGCGACTCGAATGAGTCATGGCTCAAAGAAAGCGAAAGCGCCTCCCAACTTTACTGTAGTTTACCCCAGTTTTTATTCTCGGACTTTCCCTGCTAGTAGTAACTGGGCTTCTACCAGTCTTAACATATGTAGTCTTCTAGTTGTCGTGATGTCACCGCACCCGTGACTTTAGTCGATGAAAAATTCATAGGTAAATACGTGGACTCCTCAGCTGAGAGTTGTTCAGGTTTATTCCCTACACGTATTGGTGACAAAGGGTAAGAATCTCAACAGGAACTTTATTCTGTAACTTCAGTTATGAACTTAAAAGCAGCCCTTAGTTATTTCTTATTTTCATATTGCTATGCATATGGATTCCTTTTGCTGGTGGAAGAGGTTGTGCCCTTGACATTTTCCCCCTGCATTTCCTCCTGCCCAGCACAAAGCTTTTGAAGGGCTCTGAAGGTTAATGTATGAGAAAGGCATTGGTATACATTATGTAGATTTTTGGAAGCCCATTTGTTCATTTGTCCATATGTGCCCTGGGGGGAAGGATCTCATTGGAGAAGACTCCTTAGGTGTGTGAAATTAAAGATGTTTAATTCAATTGCCCATTCTTGGGCAATTAAAGATGTTTCACTACCCAGGACAGTGATGGGGGCAGTGCAAGGGAGAGAGACCTTAGTAAATCTAGGAGTAACTCAGAAAATAGACTCTCATTTTGGGAAAGTTGGAGTTCACTTGTGAAAGGTGAAAGATGGGCTAAGACGATGAGTTGGCCTGGGAGATCACATGGCCAAAGGCTGGCCAGACGGGAGGGGAGGGACAGGCCAGGGGGGTCCATAAGTTATGCCAGAACCATTAAGTCTAGAGTTTTCTTGGGATGAAGGAATGTGGAACTCAGTGAGCTTTTCACTGGTTTTAACATTATTCTCAGAATGTGAAACCTGCGCTTTGGACATGACGATTTCTATGCTGCTTGTAGTTTCTATAATGGTTTCCTTTCTGTTTTTCACTAAGCTCTTTTTGAAATGTTCAGCTTGACTCAGCTGGACCTTAGGGACAGGGAATGGACCTGTTTCTCCATTCTTAGGCCAAAAAGAAATAGGGAGCAGTGACTCTGGAGGCAAGGCTTGGTGGTGGCCTCAGGAGTCCCAGGGAGAGACCCCAGGGAGGTGGAAAAGCTCATGCTAGAAACTGCACATATTTGTGTCTCTTCACTGAGGTTGTGTCCCTCCAGAGCTTCTGGTCTGCCCAAACCTTGGTGAATTCTGGGCTTGGGACAATGAACGGAGATTCTTAGTAGGGCTCTTTCAGTTCTGCTTTTGTGGGGTTCCCACTGCTTCCTGGGAGCTCTGCTGACAATTGACCTTGATTGACATGGTAGACTCCCAGTGAGAGGCCCAGGCTGAACTTTGCCCCAGTAGGCAAACGACATGGAAAGGGGAGTGGCAAAGGTTGACCTGAGGAGGGGAAGAGGAAACCAGGTTTGTTTTGGAAGTCCCTTTTTTCAGGAGCCCAAAACTCATGGGCAATCATGGGTGCTGGGTCCTGGTGGCTGTATGTTCCACGGACCCAAGAAGGACAATGAGGGTGGGTGTTTGTCTCAAGGCTGTGAACAAGGGTGAGTGATAGTTCAGGAAATTCATGAGGACCAGGATGTGGGAGAAAGGGAGGATGAAGGATAGGTACTGGATAGACTCGGATCTTCCCAGCTGGACTGGGGGTGGAGTTAGTAAAGATAAAGCACACTCAATGATTTGGGCTTCAGCACACACAAAACTATTTTTTCTAAGCTTTTCCCCACACCTCTACCTTCTCGTGGATTAGAGAAGACTCTGGGCTGGGAAACCAGGCAGACTTTAGATGAATCCTGACTACGCTTACTGGCTGTGTGATCTTGGGCAAGTCATATGACCTCTGAGCCTCAGTTTCCTCATCTAATACCTGGGGATAACTATCAAAAGGCTGCTGTAAGGATTAAGCGATCAAGCATATGTAAAGTTTTTGACACTTGGTAGACAATTAGTAACACACACACACACAGAGAAAGGTCACTTACTAAGTGGGAGGTCCCTATAATTGAGCCACCTGGCTTTCTGAGCACCCTCTCATCCTACCACCTCCCAGCCTCTCTGCTGCACCCTGGAAAGGTGGAGTTTTTCTCCTCTCTGCATCCTCCTTTTTTTTTTTCCTCCAAGAAGGAGGCTGCCTTGGGTGATGCCAGGGTGATCTGCCATCCAGTTGCAAGTCAACCCCAGCTCTAGCACTTGCAAAAAGCCCTTTCACACCTTCCTTCCCCTGAAAATTTGACTCCAGTTCCAGTGTTAATTCTGAAATCATGTCTCCATCCAAACTGTACCCATCGGAAGGGAGGGAGACGAGGAAGTGGATCCTCCCACAGAAGCTCTTGACTTCCAAAATTAGTGGGGTTAGTCTTCTAAGCCAAGGTGTGGAAGAGTGAGAGAAGGCTGTAGCTCAGAGATGGTTCAGAGCTGGACCTAGGAGCAGGCATGGAGCCCTCTCTGCATTAGAATGACATGGTACCCTGAAGCTGCTGGGTGTGGGAAGGATGTGTCAGACATTGATGGCAGCTCCAGCCTGAAAGGGCTGCCAGGGCACAAAACTGGCAGCAGCTTGGAGGAAGGCTGCCATGTTACAAGACAATTCAAAGGAAAGAGTTCCATTCTGCCTGGGACCCCCATAGGGTTTTCTAACTCTCCTGTGTCAACCCAAACCTCCTAGATAACTGCTTCTTCTATTCATTGTCCCCACCAAAGTGTAGATAGATGCACAGGCCAACAGTAGGGGGATTGCAGGGGAAAGGACATGAGGCTTAATCCCAGAAGACTTGAGTTCAAGTCCTGGTTCTACCATTTAATAGCTGAGCATTTTCAGGCAAATTGTTAAACATTCCAGAGCCTCAATTTACACATCTGTAGACTGGGGACAAACAGTGGTGGTATTCAAAATACCTAACAATTGTAAGGTATGGGTACTGACCTATGAGAATGGGCACCTGATGGCCTTAAAGCCAGAGCAGTGTCCTGGGAGACCTTATTGTGCCAGACCTTAACTCTATAATTGTTGGGTAGTGGAGAAGCCTAGAGGTATGGAGAGGGGAATGGGAGAGAATCCACAGCAGTGGAGGCCTCAGTCAGTGACTATTTGCCAACTGACATCTCCAAGTAGTTCCAGATTTTAGCAACCAGTATAGCTATATTGGGTAGCATTGGTTGCAAGTCAGACCTGAGGATAAATCCTACCTCATTGGCTACTACATACAGGTATTTATTTCAAGCCAACACTTGAAGCATATCCCCCTCTAATTCCTCCTCACTGGTGGAGGATCTATCGCCATGCCTAACTGCTCTCCCCTTCTAATCTCTGCAGTGCTCCTCCTCTGTGTTAGCTGTCTCAGCTGTCTTACCCCATACCATCTCTTCTGGGCTTTCCAGCTCCGTGCCTCTCCGGCCAGCACCATGGACAGCTCCCGCTGCCCAGCCCATCCTAGACCATCCCCTTCCTCCTGCCTTCTAGCTCCTTTTCTCTGACCTACCCCACCACAGAAACCCCTAGGTATGAACTGAATGAGGGTAATCCCTGAGAAGACAGTAGAGCGGAATGGTTAAGAACGAGCTGTGGAGTAAAGCAGACTGGATTTTAATCCCAACCCCACGAGCTCTCAGCTGTAAGACCTTGTTTCTTCACTTCTATAAGACCCAGTATCTTCATTTGTAAGCAGGGAAAACTTTAAAAGCCACCTCAAAAGTTGCGAGGTGTGAATGGGCACAGTCCCTGGCTCATTATATGTTCTGCATAAATGAAGGACACCATTATTCTGTTTCCATCCTATTTAATTCCTCAAACCCTTTCCAATCCATTTCTGGTCAGAGTTCTCTCTCAAGTAAAGGTGTCATAACATGACCATTGGTTCAGTGCAGCTGGCCTCGTTGGGGTGTGGAATTTGAATTGGACTTCAAGGATGGTAAGGGAGCCCACTTTTGACTAGTTCATGAGAGTCTGTCTTTCCTATATTTTTTTTGCATGTTTTAAAAAAATGTTTGAGTTAATTTTATATACACAGAGGAGCCACAAAAATATGATAGGGAATTCTCATAAATCCTTCACCCAGCTTCCTCTTAGGTTAACATCTTACATGACTACAAAACACTTATCAAAACCAAGAAAATAGTCTTGGTACAACAAAACCTATTGATGACAGTATAGAATTTATTTAGATTTCACAAGTTTGTCCACTAATTCTTTTTCTTGTTTCAGTATCCAATCCAGGATCCTACAGAGGACATTTCCTGAATCTTTCTTCATCTTTCATGACCTTGACTCTTTTGAAGAGTACCGTCAATTATTTTGTAGAATGTTCCTCCACCTGGGTTTGCTTCTCATGATCAGAGTAAGGTGTGCATTATTTAGAAGCATGACAGAGGTATGTATCCTTCTTAGTACATCATATCAGAAGATACATGGTGTCAATATATATTATTAGGGATGTTAACTTTGATCACATGGCTAACATGGTATCTGTCAGGATTCTCCACTGGAAACTTGCTCTTTTCCCCTCTTTATTAGATTTTTTATCATTCTTCCCTAAAATAAAGGATCATCTTTTGTTTCTGTAGGATTAAGAGTTCAAAACCCAAGAATCTTGTCCTTGTAGTAACCTTTCGACCCTTATATACTCCCAACCACTCCCCCAGGCCACACCCATTCCTTATTATTTGTCTATTCACCTTCCTCTGAGTTTTCCTTAGTTGGTCATTTGGAGGCATGTGCAGGCGGCAGATGAAGACACACCTGGAGTTTATGAGGGTAATAGGGTGCTTTTGTTCATTTGCATGGACTTTCCTGTTGAGGCCCTGAGAGTTTCTGCTTGCAGGGGCACTCTGAGAAAATGTGGCCAGCAACTATCCACAGGAGGGTCCAGTCCCTTCTCAGGTCTGGCTCCAAACTTTGAGTATTTTCCTCAACGCGTAAAACTTGGGTTTTTAAAATCTCTAATAGCGTTCCTTCTACTTGGCCATGTATAAATCCTTGCTACCCATTAGCCTGCCCAGATCCATGAGCTTCCTTCCTTCCAGAAGGCGCTTCACTCCTCCAAAAGTCTTCTATCTTCAGAGATCCTACCACCAGAGCAGATTTATAACTTTCTTTCAATCGGTTGAGTGTGGAGAGATGTGCTTATCCAACCCTCCCGTTTGTCTCCAGCTCTATCTGCCCCAAGTTTATTCTTGAGTCAGTGTGTCTTCTCACACTGCCCCTTTAGAGGATGAAGAGGCATCATACCTCTCAACCTCATGCAGGCTCCATTTTTAAAGTGTGTTAAATGCCATTGGAAAGTCTCAGAAGATGCCTTCATCAATTTCTGTTCCCTTTTTACCCTTTGTTTTGGTTACTATTGCTGTTTAAGAAATTACTCCAAAACCTCAAGGTTCCATTTTATTTTGCTTATGATTTTGTGGTTCAGGAATTCAGGGAGGGCTTGCTTGGAGTTCTCACGCAGTTGCATTCATATGTTGGCCAGGGCTGCAGCCATCTGCAGGCTCCCTTGGGCTAGATTTCCAAAATGGCTCACTCACATGGTTGACAGTTGATGCTGGCTGTCGTCTGGGAGCTTGCTAAGATGCAGATAGACAAGAACCCTATCTGTAGATAGCTTTTTAAGATTGGCAGTCTCAAGGTAGAACCAGGCAGAAGCTACATGGCTTTTTCTTACCTTGCCTCAGGTCAGATTCAAGGGGAGAGAAGTGTCAAATAATTTGTGGACATATTTTAATCATTGCCACTCCCACCAAAATGGGATCCTCGCACAGCATCTAAAACATTATTCCTCCAAGACCATCTTCCCTGACAGGTTTTTGGCCACCTCCAGTCCTATCAGATCTTTAAGGCTGAGACTGGGAGTGCCTTCCTCCCATCCCTCTGGGATGTTGACTCATCAGTTCCCACCTCCCTTATTTGCTGCTGCAACAGACCTGAGTTCTGGTCTGGTCTCTGCTACTGTGTGACTTTGGGGGAAGTGACTTCACCTCCCTGGGCCTCAGTTTCTTCTCTGCAAAGTAAGAGTTAGGAGCAACTTCAGATTGCAGGCTATTAGGATTTAAAAAGATAATGCAAATAGCAGACCTAGCACAGATAGTGCTTCTGATTGTCAACTGTGGGCAATTTATTCTCCCTCTTGGAGACTTACTTTATTTATGTCTGAAACGGGAATGATTCCTTAACCAGCTTCCCCATGCAGATGAGAGAGGTTCTTAAACCAACTGCATGGAAAGCCAACCCGAAGGGTGAGGCTTCCTAACCTCTATCTGTGCACGAAGCCCACCGTGTCTAAGTCTATCTGGGGTGGACACAACGTGCGTGCGAGATGGCCGGGGTGTGGCTTGGGGGTGGGGTGGGGTGCGTGCGCAGGGCGGGGCCGCTATCAGCCCCACCCAGCCTTATCAATCCAGACTGGTCACAGCTCAGCCCACGGGAACAAAGAGGCTTTGAGAACCAGGCTGGGGTGTGTGGGACGTGGGGCTGAACCCCGTAGGCGTGTTCCATCCTGGGGGCAGAGGGCACAGGATAGGGGAGCTGCAGCTGACAACCCCTGCCAGGGAAGTTTCCCTGCAGCAGGGGCACCCTTTAAGGTGGGAAGCAGGGTCTGAGGCCCAAGAACCTCCATTCCTAGAGTCTGGCTTCTGTGGGGTGTTTCCTTCCCCACTTGCCCCCAGGTCCCCATCTCCTCCCCTTCCATGGGGTGCAGCGTTTCCCCTCCTCCACTGCCATTTTAGTCTCCACTCCTGCCACCGTTAGCTCCAACCACACCGTGATTGGCTCCCAGTCCATGAGCGGGCCCTGCACTTCTCCACGCATCTGCTCCCAGTGATCCATCCACTTACCCTTGCCCAAGTCAAACACACCCAAAAGGTCCAGCCCAAAACCATTCCCAGTAAGTCTCCAGTCATAGCACATCTCATTCCCCACCTGTCTATTTGCTCTGTGCTTCTTCCCATGTGGCTCTGTATGGAACTTCTCTCCACACTTTAATCACCCATGGAATCGGCTGAGCCTGGCAGAGACCTAGGCCCAGCAGAGCCAGAGTTTAAGGTTGTACAAGTTGTATACTGCACAAGGGCCCTAGGCTGGGCAGGCAGGTGGGGCCTGAAATCCAGAAGTGCTGCATACCCCAGTGTGCCCCCGGCACCAAGGGGTCTCTCTGAAACCAACTTCTGGTACCAGGACAGAAGAGTTGACTTTTCTAGTTGGGTCTCCTGAGGGGGCATTTTGCTGTTTTTTAATGGAGGGGTGCCCATTTCTTGGTCCCACACTAGAGCTGTAGGTGCCTGCAGTAGGTCTAGCTGCCTAAAGATGTTGCATTTTGCTCAGCGCTGCACAAAACAGCACCACTCACTGTCAGAAGCCATCCTGCAGGCAGCACCTTGAGGCGTATGTTGGAGGAGAGGGGTGAGTGCAGGCCCACGTGGCTTCTGGAGGGCTATGCCCAGGATGTTGGGTCTTTCCAAACCACAGATGGGAGGCTGCAGGGGCAGTCTAGGAATGGAAACCTGAGGAGAGGCCTCTGCACAGATCAGGGCCCAATTTTCCCAGAAAAGCTGCACGGCCCCACTGCCACTCCAAGTCTGGTCTGGTAAAGGTCTGCCTTTAGACAGTTGTCTGAATCTTTCCAGCCTCCTCTGTCTGAAGAATGAATGTGTTTCCTGAGAAGGACCATCTAGAATAGGAAGTGCGGGGACACCAAATGGCTTTGTGTCTGCAAGACAGAGTGTGCCCAGGCCTAGCAGGAGAGGCAGGTAGGCTTCCGCATAAGGGAAACTTCTCTCTCATCTTCTCTTTATCTCCCATGCAGAATGTCTACAAGGGAGAGATTTGCAAATGAATAGACAAGAGTACCTTGACATTGTGTTTCTCACTATGAGTGAGTCAATGGCCATTCTGGTCCCTGTGAGCCTGGTCCATGAGGTTCTGCCATACTTCACTCTAGGTGTACTGACAAAGCAGACTTCCAGGCCTGAAGTGCTTAGAGTGACTTTTGGAGAGGACCACCCCAAGTTCACCAAAGGAAAAGCCCTGTGATAAGAACAGTGGGCCTGAGAGCCAAATGCATGGGCTCAAATCCTGCTTCTGCCACTTGCTGTGTAATCTTGGGCAAGTTACTTAACCTCCCTGTGCTTTTATGTTCTCATCTGGAAAAACAGAAATATTATGGTATACACCACATGGGCAGAGCACTTAGAATGATGCCTGCCAATTGCTAATCTTCATTAAATGACAGCAGTTGTCATGATAGCCTGTGGGGACCTACTTCTTCCCAGATGACACAGTTTCCTACTCTCTGGAGCAATGAAGGTTTCTCTGGAGTTTTTCTCCATGGAGGTGAGGCATGGGTAAGGTAAGTCTGAGCAGTCATCCCCAAAACAGTCATCTTTGTAAGGAGATAGAACCTGGGCAGTGATGTGCTCTAACAAGTGGCTCCTCATGGCCAAAGGAACCCTAGTTTCTAGCGTATACCAATTTCCATGGTGTAAATATTCCTATCATGGCCTATTTTAACTGACTCACGAAATTCCTGAAAATTTACCAATTGTACCACTGGACCTGGGAATCTCAGCTGATCTGTAGTGAGTACAGAAAAACCTGCCTTGGGATGGAGACACCAAGAGAAAATGAGGAAGAGGGGTCACGGGTCATCCTGTCTTGGCAATACTGGCCTCTAGACGAAGCAGTGTTTCTCAAAGTGTGTTCCATGGACCATCTGCCATGCTTGGGGTGTTTGTAAAAATAAGTTCCTGGGCCTTACTCTGGATCAGTTAAAACAATCCTAAAAGTGAGGCCAGGAATAATTTTTAAACAAGCTGCCCAGGTGATTCTGAGGTTTGAGAATTGCTAGGTTAGGAACCCCTGACTTATCCAAGAAGTCAGAATGGGCCACAAGGCAGATATCAATTCTACAGAACCTTTGTATACCATGGGCTCTTATCCACAGTGAAGAATGAGGAACCTAGGCCCTGAGATAGAATGGGTAAACAGGGAAAGCACCTTGACTGAGGCACAAGGAGGGGATTCTAGGTAAGTAAAGTGACCCCAGACTAGTTACCTCAGCTCTCTGTCTGGCCCACTAGTGCTTAGGGCAAACTTTCGGGTCAGCTTATGAAGGCCCTGCCTGGCACAGAGCCCAGTTCTTTGTTGGGACCTGCAGAGCTACTGGGTAGGAAACACCTGCAGAGAGGTTTCGTCTTTCAGAGAAGGACCCACACTATCTGTGTACTGGCCTCACTCAGCATCCTAGACTCTACGGCTCTAACAACTTAAATAGTTTTTATTACAAAAGAAAGAAAAGAGCAAAACATCCCCCAAATTCTCCCATGGGCTTCCCTCTCTGTGCCAATAAATAAGGTGGGGGAGACTGACTGGAGGAGAGGGTCGGGGCCATGGTTCAGCAGAGGAGGGAGCCTGGCCTGGGCAGGGGCGGAAAGACATCCAGTCAGTCCATTCCCCTGGTCCCAGGCACTATGATCACATTGGCTGGAACACAGAACTCTGCCCACTGGCAGCAACAGTCTCTGGGTATGTCACAAGGAGTGTGTCCAGGGAGAAAGGTCATGCCTGAGGATAGCCAGGTTGGCTACCCCACCCTGCAGCCTTCTCAGTTCTGGGCAGCATTGAGTCCAGCCAGCTCCCTGCTGGCTCCCAGGGAATCTAGCAGCATCAACTGAGGTGCAAGCCCACCAAAGGGGGGCCTAAGACAGATGGAATGAGCCCCTCCCCACTAGGGGAGGCAGGTATGAAAAACCAAAGTGAGAGCTGGTCAGGTTGGGACATACCATGCCAGCCTCCAGGTCTCTAGAAGAGAAGGACAAATCACCCCCCACAGCACAGATTGTAGCTCTGTCACTACACCACAACAGATGTGGGGGATGCTGAGACAAGTGTGGGAGATACTGGCATTTCCCATCAAGTCTCGGTGGTGGGGGAGATGGTGAAACCCATGGCCCCCATGCAGGTCCCTTCCAGGGCCAGTGTCCATCTGCCAGAGAGGCCTTTGGATGTAGTTGGGCAGTTGTGGGAGGGCAATAGAGGGGTCTTTTCAGCTCCCTGGCCCTGCCATGCCCAGCGAGTGGAAGCTGCCCTCTTCCAGCAAGAGCCGTCCCAGGCGGTAGAGCAGCTGGGGGTACCAGTGCACACCCTCCCCTGGGGTCCAGCTGCTCCACACCATGCTATGAAATAGTCTCAGGGGCCAGAAGGCCAGCTGAGCGAGGTGGTGGTCAGCCACGGCTGCGAAGCAGGAGGCCACCACATCCTCAACCACCAGGGTCCCGTGCCTTGTTAGTGGGGCATAGGCCCCAAGGGCCACGTTTGTAGAAACAGCCACCACTTGGGCAGGCTGCAGGCCAGGCTCCCCGGCCACCAGCACATACTGGCCAGGCTGCACCTGGCTGGCAAATGTGGCCCGGAAATGGGCGGCCGGTTCTGTGTGATTGTTGGCAGTGAAGAGCAAGTGGGCAGGTGTGAGTGCCAGGCGGCGTGGGGGTTCCTGGGTCTCGATGACTTGGAAGACCCTCAGCCTATCTGGCTCTCGATCCAGGAAAATGAGCACATCACTGAAGATGGGGTTTCCATCCTCCCCCATGGCCAGCACCCGGTCTCCTGGCCTTATGGCTGACAAGGCCACATGGGCCCCACTCTCCAGGCGCACCTGGGCTCCAGCAGGGAAGCAGCCACCTGTCTTGGCCGCGGCCGAGTGCTCTGTGGGAAGAAGGGACATGAAGGTATTACTGCTACGGAGCTTGGATTCCCCATCATAGCACCCCTCCCCAACCCAGCTAGAGCTTGTCATGATCCCACAGAACCACCATCACCAACTCCTGGCCCCAGCCACCACCTCCCATGGAGCCTTGAGCCCACCCAGCCCACAATGTGATTTTTTTGTCCTCTCCAGTCCAACCTTTTGCCAGTGAGAGGAGCACACTGTAGCTCCAAGATCCAGTGAGTGAGGAGAAAAAGGCCCTCCTGAAGCCCAGGTGAAGCCCCCCATCTTTTCTCAGTGCTGACAACACTGTGAAGCAGTCAGAGAGGCCAGAGGTCAGGTGAGCCAGGCTGTGGTCGCTGTGACTTGACCCCCAAAGAGCTGCAGTCCTACAGGGCAGGCAGGCTGCCAAGCTCCTCTGTGGCCTGGGGGTCCCGTTATTTCTCATCCCTTGCTCAGACACTCCCAGAATATTGCCCTCTCAGACTGATGCCCCAAATTCTGTCCCAGAGTTGGCCCTTAGAGTCTATACCCAAGTAAGGGTTGGACCACCCATGGGGCAAATACAGGCTTCCTGGGGAAGCCTCAGAGTGAATGGTCAGGCCAGGGCACCACTCAGTGGCAAGGATGAAATATCACCATCTTCAATTTATGTGCGGTCCGTTTTCAGGGACAGGACATGGTGGCATCAGTGGGTGGGATGAAAAACCGTGTTTGGGGGTCGGGAATAATGATGGAGGTTGCCACTCTGGGAGCTCGCACCTGGCCAGTGTTTGCAGGCAAAGGGTGGATGTGACTTGAAGTAGATATGGTTGGCAGGAAAGTGCTGAGGGAAGCATTGGGGTGGGGTCACTGCTGTGTGCCCAGGTGGGGTCAGCGAGAATACAAGGTGGGCCTGGTCTTAGTGTGCAGGGTCAGTGAATACCAGCATGGAGGGCTGAGCCCGTGGTCAGGTGAACTAGGCTGGCAGTCACGAACCATTTGAAGCACCCATGGCTGGGTTCAGTGTAGATGACAGGAATGCTGACAAGATTTGAGGAGTGGGGGGAGGCCCCAACACCTGCCAATTCGGATCAACAAGGCGGCCAACTGGGAAAATCCACTTTATTGAGTCCACTCTGTTTATTCTGACCCTCATGGCTGGCTTTGCCCCAAAATGTCCAGCTTCAGGGCCCTGAGGGAGAGACTGGGGACGCCTGCGCCCCCTGGGAGGAGCGTACCAAGTGCCCTCAAGAGCCTGACCTGCAGCCAAGTTGTGGGTTCTGAACCTCTGGGCTCCTGGCTCCTGGTCAGGCATGCTGGTGTCTAGGCACTCCCTGGCCCCTGGCCCCACCACCCGCCTCCGTTCTGAACCACGGTGGGTGGGGAGGCCATCTCTGTCACAGCCTGGCTTCCTCCATCTGTCCAACTTGCTTTGTGTTGCACCTTCTTGCAGCTCTGGGCTGTGGACAGCAGTGTTGGCACCCAGCAGTGCTGGTACAGGGCCCTGTCTCCCTAGGCTTCTGCATGGCACTACCAAGCACCAGAGGAGCAGGTGGTCACAAGCAGCAGCGGGGTGTGCCGCCGACGTCCTCTTCCCCGGGGTCCCCGCCTCCATCCCTGGGCAGGCCTCTTCACCTTCTCCGCGGCAGTGAGCCCTGCGCCACTTGCCCACGCCCTGCGGCCCCGGCCCCGAGCCCAGCCCCCTGGCAGCGGCTCACCGGACTTGACGGAGCAATGCACGTGGGCCTTGGACTCGTAATACACCCAGTCAAAGCCAGCCTCCACTGCCAAACGCGCCAGCAGTCCGTACTTATTGCGGTCGCGGTCCGACGTGGTGATGTCCACTGCGCGGCCCTCATAATGCAGCGACTCCTCCGAGTGGTGGCCGTCCTCGTCCCAGCCCTCGGTAACCCGCAGCTTCACGCCAGGCCACTGGTTCATCACTGAGATGGCCAGCGAGTTCAAGCGGTCTTTGCAGCGCTGAGAGAAGAGAGCGCCGGGAATTAGTGGGTGCAGCTGGCCTGCGTGCAGGTGGAGGCGCAGCCTGGCCTCTGGCTCTCCCACCGCACCCCCTGGAGTTGGGAAACCGGGGAGGGTGCTCTGACCCCCTTCCATTTCTAGCATCTGGCCGTCCCAGGGACAGGTTGGCCCGGTGGCGCCGCAAATCTGGAGGGCGCGTCCATGGGTGCACACTTGGGCGTCCTTCTCTGACCGTGGCCCCTCCTCTGGCGCTCTCTCTTCCCGGCTCTGGGGACCTATCCCTCTATAGACAGGTCTGCATCTTTACAGCGCCGAGTGCTCGGGTCTCACCGACGCGCCAGAGACCAGGGACCGCCCCCTGCCTGGAGGGTGGGGATGGGAGCCAGCCCACAGCCTGCGGCTGGCCTGCTAGGCGTGCAAGGCCCGAGGTAACCAGTAGGTGTCACCGTAGCCTCAGGGCTGAGGCCGGGGGACAACAGCCCCGGAGGCGTGGCAGGTGCGGAGAGCCCAGGCAGCGTTGGGGGTGTATTGGAAGGGAATCCCAGGCCTCCCTGGATCACTCCAGAGCCACAAAGTGTTTCCGCTGGGACCCTCTTATGATCCGAAACCGGCCCGCACTCGCGCCGGGGATGCGACAGTCCGGAAACCAGAAGTTGGTAGAGCGGCTAGCTCGCAGACTGACCAAAGGGAGGGGCGCGCGCAGGGTTGGTAATCCCAGGTGACGTCCTCTTTTACCCCCGAGCCCTCAGCACTCCTGCGCCGCCCCTATCTGGGAAGGGACCCGAAAAACCGAGGCTCTAATCTCAGGGAGCCAGCTGCCCACTCTGCCTCACACGGGTGGGAGTACAGCTGCGCCCTGAGGGAAGGACAGGAGTGATCATCCGTCTGTGCTGTCTCCCCGCGTGCCTGCAGCCCAAGGGACCCTGCAGCTGACTTGAGGGCGTGGCCTACGGGAGAGGGGAACCTTCTACGTTCTTGACCCTGAGGTGCACGCAGCCCATGTCTCCATTTACCCCCACCCCCACCCCTGAAGTCCCTGGGCCCCACAGACCCTTGGACTCCGTCTCCCAGGAGCCAACAGAGGCTACAAACCAAGGCCCGGCCGTTTTCCCAGGCGAGCAGCCTAGCTGGGGGAGCCTACTGCCCAGGGAGGGAGCGTCGCGTGCTCCTAGCCACCGGTCTTCTAGCCCCCCAGCTATGTCGGCACCGCGGGCCCCTGCTCCCCGCCCCTCTCGCCCCCAGCAGCCCCCGCCCTCGGGTCCAGAGCTGGGGCGCGTGCTGTCAATGATTGCCCAGCTCGTGGCCCGGATCCTTATCTGCATTCCTCGGCGCCCGGCCCGGCCCGGCTACCAGCCAACCTTCGGCCCCGACACCGGCAGGCCAGCCCCGGCGCCAGGGCGAATGCTGAGGGCCTTAGCTGCTCTTCCTAAAGCACCTAGAAAGCGGGCTGCCTGCCAGTGAGGAAAACCCCAGGAGACCCTGGGGAGGAGGATATAGGTCTCTTCCCTTGGAACCCGGTTGCAGGGAAGAGAGCTTCCCCGCTGGGCTTGCGCTGAGCGCGGGTCCTGTTCTGAGCATGCCGAGACTAGCTAGCATTAGCTCTGCTCCCTGCCTCCCCTGCATCCCAGCCCCTCTCTTTGAATCCTCCCAGTCCCTGCCGCCAAGCCCAGGGATCCCTCAAGTTCGGTTCAAGCGCCCGAAGGCCCTGGCACCCCATACTTCAACGGCAGCCGCGCCGCTCAGCTCCTGGGACAGACACGTGGGCTCGGCGGCAAGTTCCCTTTCCCACCTCGCCTCTCGGCTCAACTCTTTCTCCCCACTGGTCATTAGCCCCAGACCCAGCCAGGATGCTGTTCCAGGAGGGGGCAGCGCAGCGAACCAAGAGCGCGCAGGGAGAAAAGGCCGTGGGGCCTTCTGCGCCCGAAGCTTCTTCGCCTCAGGGGTGCCAAATGGCTTCAAAATGAAAGGGGTGCAGTCGTGCGGAAGGTTAGGACGGGAGGGACTGCGTGGGTCTCCAAGGCACAGGAGGCAGCCGCGTCGAGGTACCTCCTGGTGCCGCGTCTGACCCGAGCTGCCAGCACTCGGAAGCAGAGGGGCGGCCGCCAACCGGCTGGGCTGTGGTGCTTGGCAGCGGGGAGCTCTTCTCACAGCCTCCGGAGGGGCTGGGACAATCCCGCGGGGTACCCTGTCCGGCTCATCTCGGGCAGGAGGCAGCCGGGCTTGGCGAGAGGGGCAGGTGCCAGGGGGGCGTGCCAGCCAGTGGAGAAAAGGTGCCAGGGGGGCGGGCAGGGCCAGGCAGGTGGCGGTGCTTTGGCGGCGGCGCGCTACGAGGGCGGGTCGCGCTCACCTGGGTCATGAGGCGGTCGGCGCCCGTGTTCTCCTCGTCCTTGAAGATGATGTCGGGATTGTAGTTGGGGGTGAGCTCCTTGAAGCGCTCCGAGCTGCGCGCGATCTTGCCCTCATAGCGCCCGCTGGCGCCCAGGGTCTTCTCTGGCACGTTGGGGCTGAACTGCTTATAGGCGAGTGGCACGAGCTTGCGCGGCGGCCGCCGGCGGCTGCCCACCACCCGGCCCGGCCCGCAGCCCCGCGCCGCCGGCACCGCCAGCAGCAGCAAAAGCAGGCAGAACCGCAGTCGGGGCCGGAGCCGGGCGGGAGACATGGCCGGACCGCCCGGGAGAGGCGGGCGAGGGTGCCTGGTGGGCTGATGGGTGGGCGAGTCGACGGGAGCGCCGCCGAGGCTCAGGCGTCCAGGTGGCTGTGGGGGGCTCCAGGTGGGGGCGCCATGGGCTGCGCGGCGTGGCGCAGGGCCGGCGGGACTCAGGTGCGGGGCGGGGGCCCGAGGCCCTGGCTGGTGGCGGCGCGCTGTCCCCCTCGGCGCCTCGACTCTGAGCTGCCCGGCTCGCCGGCCGCCAATAAATAGGCCGGCCCGTTTGTTTTGGCAACGCGGCGGCGGCGGGGGGCGGCGGGCGGCGGGCGGCGGGGCTGCGGGCCGGCGGGCTGGGCTGGGCTGGCCGGGCCGGCGGGCTGGCGGGCCCCGTGGTTAGCACCCCGGCCCGGCGGTCAGGCGACTCGGGCGGAGCGGGAGCTGCTGCCGGCGGCGCAGCCCGGGGCTGAGTGAGAGGGGAAATGGAAGAGATCCGGGCTCGGGCCCCGCGCAGACCGCACCCTACCCATGTCCCTGCCTCCTGTGCGCTCGACAGCGAACCTGCAGCAAGGGCAGCACAGCCTCCTCCCCCTCGGGCGGGCGGCCCCGGCACTAGCCAGCCCTATGTCCCGCTTGCTCCTCTGCCGCGCGTCCGCCCGCCCGCTGCCCTCCGCGCCCCCTGCACAGCCTGAGTTTGCCCTCCCCGCCCGGACGCGCCCCACCCCGCCTTGGCCTCGTCTCTGGGCTCCCCGCGGCTCCGGGATGCCCCGCCAGGCGCAAACCTCCCCGACAGGAGCTGCCACCCCCACAGAGACCGCAACCCACGGCGCGGCCGGACGCGAGGGGCGGGTGACAGTGGCCGACAGCACAGCCGCCTACGGTGTCCCCTGCGGGAGAGTAAACCCAAAAGGCAGGATGCCGCTCAGAACCTGGTGCCCCACCCTGGCCCAGGAGATGCTCCCTTTCAGCCTGGTGGAGCTGAATTCTATCAACCCGGTGCACATCCCACAGCAGCGGGATGCGAAGCTGGGAGTGGGGAAGCCAGCCTCGGGAAGAGTCAAATGGGGCTTTTGAGTTGGAAACACTGTAAAAAGGAGCAAGATGAAGTTGCAGAGGAATAGGCCAAGGTGTAGAGAAGAGCAGCTAAATGATGACATCAATGGATGTTGGAACCCCGACTGACCACGTTGTAGAGGGGCAGCCCAGATCTCAGGGTCCGGGGCTGGCTAAGAACGCAAAGAAGGTTCAAAGCCGCGGGCATACAGGAGCTGCCAAACAATTACTCTCTTATTTCCACTTTTCAAATTAAGAAGGACAGAGAATATGTAGAGGTAGCTAAAGAAGTAAACATGGGTTGTGCATTTTAATATGACATCGAAGAACCCTGAGTGAACTAGGATTCATTCTGCCAAAACAAGAAAAGGCAAGTTTGTTAAAAGCATACACCACCACCACCACAACAACCTATGTGATTTGGTTGCACTATGTTCTTCAAATTCAATAGAGATAAAAATTAAAGGAGAGAAAGAAAAAGGTTTAAGCATTTTCATTCCAAACATATTAATACAATAGGTACCATTTTACTGATACTTAAATCCCTGGTACATGGAACCGACTTGATGTTATTATACTAAATATTCTACTTGCATTACAGAAAAGGAATTCTAATTCCTATTACAGAAAAGGAAACTGAGGCCCACAGAAGGGAACTGAGGATGGCTCCACCAGGAGCAGGGTGGCATCCATCACTTGGAAGCAGAATAGATTGTTTTCTTTCCTCCCCTTTGCCCATGCTTCCTCCCCACATCCCATGTCCGTTCTTACAGTAGCATTTGGCTTCTGTGTCTCCCAGTCGCAGATTGCTCTCACATTGCTTCTTTTCCTTGAAAGCTTTTGAAGTGCTTTTCTAGGGTTCAAGAACTATCCCTGCAATATTCCCCATCCCTTTCCCTCTCTCCTGCTCAGATTTCTGGGTCCGACTACTCAGCCAGGTCAGAACCTTTCCTAGTTCGGACAAACAGGGGCTCCTGTGTTTTTATGGAGCTCCAAAAAAGAAAAGCCCTTAGGCTTCCAGGGTCACCTATCCCACTGTTATAATCATAATTTTCTAGAGAAATTTTTGCCTTAAAGTCAGTCTTTCTTCCTCCCTCTCTAATGCAAATTCAACTCCTTTCCTCTTTTCCTGGTTTTAGAGGTTAAAGCCATCATCCCATTTATTTATCCCACATGTATGGTCTTGAAGAGTCAAATTCACCTTCAATCTTCCTTACTCCAAATGAAAGACAATTTAAGATTCTCTCAAAGGTTCCACCTTATAACCGTTTAACTAACTTGCCATTCATTCTTCCTCTCATTGCTCCTTTAAAACTGTGATCTTGTTGAATACAAATCTCTGATAAAGATCTGATCTGTGTCAAATAAGAATCCCTTAAGCACTTCTGGTATAGCCTGGCATCAGGGTGTGTCTATTGCAGGGCAACTTCATTGGCTTAGGTTGCGCTCCACTAAGTCAAGGCTCTCCTCTGCCTGGCTAACTTAGGAGCTGTGAGCAGGGTTGTACAGGGAGAAGAAGATGGGTGCTAACATTTATCAAGTCTTTTCTCTATGACAAGTGCTGTAAGCAATTAGTAAAATCTTCACAATAACCCTCTGTGCCTGGAAACTATTGCTGTCATTTTATAAATCTAAACTCATTAACACTCTATAAGTAAAGTGGGCCTGTGGTCCCACAGTCAAGATTTGAACCCGGAGCTTTTTTTACTCCAATCCTATACTCGTTTCTCAGGACACAATGGTGGTTCAAGATCTGAATCTCAAATTTAGATCAGTGTCAGTTCCATTTCTTTCAGTGGAGAAAGAAGGAGCAGAGGGCAGAGATTGGAAGTATCATAATTTCTATAGCAGTGACCCTGGAGCACCTTTAATCCAAGTTGGGGCCTAAGAACCTTGGTCATTTCTTGGCTGCCTATGTTCTTAGCTGTTCAGTAGATGTAGGGTAGCTTTTGAATTGGGCCAATCTGTTAGAGCTATCAAACAAAGCCTGGCTCTTTTTCTGGTCACTGCCAGGCATTTACTAGCAAGAAAATTGGAGAAGAGGTATGCCACTCTAGAGGCACCAGTGGCCTGGGTCTGAGCAGCAGTGGTAGAGCCTGATCAAGGCACCTCACCTCTGAGTTCTGGGCCGGGTGGTAAACGCACTTTTCGTCTCTTGCCTTTACAGCTCTTCTACCCCTCAGTCATCTATAGTATGAAGAGAATAAAGTAAAATCTATTTCTTCAGATAATATGGTTAATATTTTTGCTTACAAGAGTGAAAGCTGAAAAAACAGCTTGGAAGGAAAGGGAGGGAAATACACCAAAGAAACAGATAATATACACATCTGTTTAGTAGACTACATGTTAGTATATTTTGTCAACCTTTGATTCAATGCTATAATACAAATACATTGTGCTTAATGATATATTCCTATATATGTGTGTATATATGTATATATATGTACATGAGTATACACACACACACACACACACACACACACACACACACACACTGCAGGTACACCTCTGTCATCAATTAGTCTTTTTTCTCCTTATCCACCACTTGACCAGATCAGCCCTGCTCTAAATCCATGGGTGCTAAACCACAGCCAGTCAAATTTCAGGAATGCAGTTAGTCAATATCCTCCAGTGACTCAGTGCACAGCAGCCCTGGCTCAGTAGAAAGGGCATAAGGCCTGGAGTTGGTGAATGTGCCTGAACACTGTCTTTGATACCTTCTACTGTGTGGTCTTGGGCAAGTCACTTGACTTCTCTGAATTTTAGTTTTCTCATCTATACAGTGAAAATTAGTATCACCTACCTTGTAGGGGTGTTGAGTAGGTTAAAAATACAAGCTGCAAAGTACAAATCTTAGGTGTAATTTGCTTGTATTCTCTGCAGTTCTCTGATTCCTATTACCTGTCTTGGGGAACTGCATCGGCGTGCTCATATGAGTGTGTCGCAAGACAGCAGTGGGGATTAGAAGGCTTACTTCTTCCTACTAGGGAGCATCCCAACTTGTGCATGCTAGTACAATAGGCTCATAAGGGTAGAGAATGCAGACAGAAAAGTAGAAGAGACAGTTATCATCCTCAGGGAACTTACTAGTTAATCTTAAAGATAAACCATGAAAATAAAAGGCAGTTACAAAGCCATGAATGCTACTCATAAATGAGTAAAGAATAATGCATTATATACTAGATAGGTTAATAGATAAAAAGAATTTGGTCTATAATATGGAATTAAGAAACAATTAACCTGGGTTTAGACCTCTTAGAAGAAATGTTTTGAAGGAGGGCAAGGAATGATTGAAAAGAATGAAAAGGACACTCATGAAAGGGCAGTGGTCCAGGTGCCACGTGATGGCACTCAGAATAATGAAGAGCCATGCTGGATGCTCTAGTAAAGGGGGAAACCCTAATATTATCTGATGTAACATTCATAAAGACCTTACAAAGCTGACATCATTGTCTTCATTTTATTAATGAGGGACTGAGGTTGGGAGCTTGTAAGTGATGGAGCTGGGGTTAGAATCCAGGTTTGTTTGACTCCATAATCCAGTTTCTTGCTGAGTGATTCCCAGGGCAAGCGTGCTGGGTTGTTGGCCTCTGCTCAAGTCACTCATTTTACCTCTAAATTGAGGGGACTCTTGTTACCTTCCTCTTGGGCTTGTAAGACCTCATACTCTATTTGACCATTTCCCCAAATTGCTGGGATCACTCTGACTTGTATTGGTTTTTGGAAGAGGTTAGCAGCTTCATCAAATTTGGCCCATATGCAAAAAAGGAATCATGTCTGTCTTTCAAGCCCCAGATCAGTCCAGAAAACATTTGGAGATCCAATTAGAGGCACTCAAAACTAACAATGCTTTGAAAGCTAGCTATTGATTAGAAATGGGAATGTCAAGTTACCTTTGCCCTAACAATAAGCTCATTACAAGGCACTTCAGAGAGATTCAAGCATTAAAGACCTTGCTTTGATGACTTTGAAAAGTCTGGAAAAAGTAGCAGAATTGGTTACAAAGAGAGTGTTTTCCCCTCAAATCAGAGACTAAAAGATTGTGGGGAACTCTTATACAGAAAGACATATAAATATTTCTGTATGTGGATAATAACATTTACTAATTAATGGGCTTTATTTCCACCCCAGTGCCTCTATTTAGGAAGCAATTTGTTGCTTAAAGAAAATCTTGGAAAATACTAGCTCAATGACTGTTCAGTAAAGGGGCAGTGGGGGGTGCTACTCTCTCAATGCTCAAGGATGCTCTGACATGCCTGTCAGCTTTCTGTGACTGGTTTGT